TGGAGTCTCTAGTCTGAATGTCTGAGTCTCCTTGCTAGAGTTTCAGCCGTCGTGTGTAGGAGATGTTCCCACTCTCATGCAGTGTGTTTTAAGAACAGATGGTGAGATAGTGCAGGGAAGTGAACAGGGTGGGATAGGAACAGAACACATTCTGATACAACACCTTTAGTCTTGGTTTTGCTTCTTTGGAAACCAAGTCCAAAGTTTCTCTAAACCTATCTCTGTTGGGCCCCATGACCTAAGTACAGCATCCAAACAGAACTCTTTAGAACTTTCTTTGTTGTTCTCTGTTGTGTTCAAGTGGTCCTATGAGAGCCTTGGCTTACCACAGGCTAAGACAGGGCCACCACCCTAACAGCCAGTCCTGGGCTAAACACTGCAGCTGCCTAGAGAACAGCTGCTTAAGCCCTTAGCAGCTGCAGCAGCTGACAATAATCCACCCCCCCCCACACACACACACAGGTCCCTTCCATGTTGTAGTCCTTGGCTAGTCTATGTGCTCCCATAGACTTTTTTTTTTTTTTTTTTTAAGTCAAGTCAGGGTCTCACTATGTAGCCCTGGCTGTCTGTCTTAGAACTGGCTATATAGACAAGCCTGGCCTTGAACTCATGGATAACCTCCTGCCTCTCCTGGGACTAAAAGTGTGTACCACCATGCCTGATTTAAAATCACTAAGGTCTTTGAGAGTGAGTGTGTATATATATATTTTAAAGTCTCCTACCTACTTTTCCCCGCCACTGGTGGCTCCAACCCCCTTGTACTGCTGTAGGAAGTACAGTGTGAATCTGAATCTCACACACAGTCTCCTCTTTCTCCTTTTATAAACTAATGTGGATGGAAGTTTTTTGTTTTGCTTTCCCTTCTTTAAAAAAAAAAAAAAAAGATTTCTTTATTATGTATACAGTGTTCTGTCTGTGTGTGTGCCTGCAGACCAGAAGAGGACACCAGATCTCTTTACAGATGGTTGTGAGCCACCATGTGGTTGCTGGGAATTGAACTCAGGATCTTTGGAAGAGCAGTCAGTGCTCTTAACCTCTGAGCCATCTCTCCAGATCCTTGTTTTGCATTTTTTGGTTTTTTTTTTTTTTCCAGACAGAGTGTCTCTGAATTGCTTTGGAGCCTGTTCTGGAACTTGATCTCTAGACCAGGCTGGCCTCAAACTCTGCCAGCCTCTGCCTTCCAAGTGCTGGGGTTAAAGGTGTGTGTCATCAACACCCGGCCCAGTAATCACTTTTAAACTGCTTTTCATGGGACAGTGATTCTAAATCTAAAAACCCACAGAGCGTATATGTACTTCTAGGTTCTTATCAATTGTGTTCTTTTTTTCTTTTCTTTTTCTTTCTTTTCTTTCTTTCTTTCTTTTTTTTTTTTTTTTTTTTTTTTTTTTTTTTTTGTGCATTGGTGTTTCCCTGTATGTATATCTCTGTGGAAGTGTTAGGTACCTTGGAAATAACAGACCATTGTGAGCTGCCAGTGTTTGTAACCCCTGAGCTATGTTCTTAAGGAAGAGGCCAGGAGGAAGGGCTGGACAAGGGCTGGAAAACAGGGGGTACTGTAAGATTTAAACAAGGTGAATTAACACAAAAGAAGAGGTTGGATTCAGGGATTCCTGGTGCTGTGACTATCAGGCTTTGCAAATACCAGTAGGCTTTATACTGTGTTAAGGATATTTTATACCACTCCCCTTTCTGATTGATGTGCAAATTGAACTCTTGCTGTCTTGCTTTGCTAGTCTTGAGCACCGTTGAGATCCTCCTGCCTCAACTTAGTCTCAACTAAGGCAATAGCTGAGACTATAGGTGTCTGCCTACACAGAAGGCTTCAAAGACGGAGTTATTTGAGTAGATAAATGAATGCAATGAAGTTTTAGCTTTCGTGAAAATGGTAGGATCAGACTTGAACTTTAAAAGAATTGTTTGAGTTCGAGACCAGCCTGGTCCACAGAGCAAGTTCCAGGCTCCAAGAGAGAGAAACCCTGTCTTGAAAAACAAACAAACAAACAAATAAAAAACAATTGTTTGAGTTCCAGCATGGTGGCAGGCCGCTGTCTGCTAGTCACACAAAACCAGGTGTAGTAGTAGTTAGTAGCGCTGTTCAGGAAGCTGAAGCAGGAGACTCGTTGAGTCAGGCCAACTTGGGCCTTAAGTTCAAAGCCAATTCTCAGTTTTGCAGCAAATTTGAGACCAGGATAGGTAACAAGAGACTTGTCTCAAAAACAAACACATAAACAATCTAAAGTACAATCAAAATAAAATCAATACGGCTGGGGAGATGGTTCAGTAGCGTGCTCGACCCCAAAGTATGAGCACCTGAGTCTGATCTCCAGTGCCAGGCCAAAGGCTGCATGTGGAGTCCTGCTCTTGTAATTTCAGCCATGGAGAGACAACAGGAAGAGTCCTGGGCTCACTGGCAGATAACCTAGTCTCATGCAGTGCACATACATACATGCAGGAGAAAGAATGAATTGCTACAATAGTCCTCCATTCTTGTCAACAAATAGTCTATCTCTCCACTTGAATGGGGGTGGGGGGTGGAATCTGTGCCTTTTTTCAGAGTAATAATTCATGGAGGAAGTCATGTTATTGGATGGACTCCATGTCGAAAAGCCCAAGAGACTCTTGCCTTCTTCTGTGTTTTTGCCTCCATGTTAGGAAGTTCAGTTCCAGCTGGATCATTCATTGATGAAAGACACATGAGGGGGTGGGGGATGGGGGCAGAGACAGAGAGTCTGACTCAGCTGATAGCTAGCACCCAGGCCCAGATACTCAAGATCCTTCTGGACTTTCTACTTCCATTGAGACTTTAGCCCCATTAGCAAATAACAAGACAGCAAACAAGAGAGTAGCTAATTCAACCCATAGGTCCCTGAGAAAGAATACATTGTTTTTCTGGGCCTGCACTTGAAAGGCAGAGGCAACTGCATCTCTGGGAGTTCAAGCCTAGGGTCTATGACAAAGAGTGCTCTAGGGCAGCCTGGGCTACATAGTGAGACATTGCCTCAAAAACAAAAACAAACAAACAAAAAACCAAGAAAAAAAAATACCCAGTACTCGGGAGGCAGAGGCAGGTGTATCTCTGTGAGTTCAAGGACAGCCTTGCCTACAAAGCTACACAGAGAAACTCTGTCTCGCTAGGCATGGTGGCACATGCCTTTATTCCCAGCACAGGGAGGCAGAGGCAGGTAGATCTCTGTGAGTTCGAGGACAGCCTGGTCTACAGAGAAAGTTCCAGGACAGCCTCCAAAGTTAAACAGAGAAAACCTATCTCAAAACAAAAAAACAAAACAAAACACCAAACTCAATACAAACAAAGGTGTGTATCATGAAGCCAGTGTTAGTTATGATAATGATGCTTATTATACATCAGCAAGGCATAAACTTTTTAAAATTATTTTTATTTTATGTGAGTTGGTGATTTGCTTGTATGTTTGTCTGTGTGTGTAGGGTCCCCTGGAACTGCAGTTTCAGAGAGTTGAGCTGCCATGCGGGTGCTGGGAATTGAACTCCTGTCCTTTAGAACAGCCAGTGCTGAGTCATCTCTTCAGTCCCTGCTTTGTCTTTGTCTCTGTATGTGTGTATGCATGCATGTGTTCTGGGTGTTGAACAAAAGGCAGGCCTCATGCATGCCATTGTTATAACTCCAAGCTCTATGAATACTTTTAAATGCCAGGGAAACAGACCTTGTCTGTTATGCTTATCTCTTTCAGCAAACCTGGGGCAGTGTTTGGTCCAGGGCCTGTAGAACATACTCAATAGACTTTTTTCTTTTCTTTTTCTTTTTTTTTTTAAGACAAGGTCTCAGGCTCAAAATCACTATGTAGCTGAGGCCATAATGAGTTTGAACTCCTGACCTTCCTGACTTCACCTCTTAAATCCTGCAATTATAGGCCTAGGCCACTATGCTTGGCTTTTTTTCCCCTTACACATGAGTTTTGGGTGGCTTGATAAAATTATTTATTGTTTAGCCCAGGCTGGTCTTGATTTGACAACATCCTCCTGCTTTAACTCTCGAGTCTGAGATCAAAAAATATTTGTTCAGCCATATGGTGGTGGCTCCATACCTTTAATTCCAGCACTCCGGAGCTAGAGGCAGGCAGATCTCGGTGAATTTAAGGCCAGCCTGGTCTACAAATCGAGTTCCAGGTCAGCCAGGGTTGTTACACAGAGAAACCCTGGTTGTAAAAACAAAAACAAAAACAAAAAAGAAAACAGAGGCCTAGAACCCCCCTCTTTTTATTCAACACCCCCCCACCCCAGAGAAGGTTTCTTTATTTAGTTCTGGATGTTCTGGAACTCACTCTGTAGACCTCAAGAGATCTGCCGGTCTCTGCCTCCTGAGTGCTGTAATTAAAAACATGCGCCACCATTGCTTCAGAGGCCTAGAATCTTTTCAACAAAACCTGCAGCTCAAAGCTACCTGTAGTGCTGCAACCCTTTAATTCAGTACTGGGGAAGTAGGGGCAAGTGGATCTCTGTGAATTTGGAGCCACCATGGTCCAGTCGGGGTTACAAGGTGAGACCCTGTCTCAAAAGCACAAACCCAAAACCCAGTAACGGTCAACCACGGCAGGTATCTTCCTCTTCGTTTTGTATTTTTACAACTGGTGTTTTTTCCATCTAGCCTCTTTGGCTAGGTAGCAAACGGGAAAGTACCTCTAGGACCCCGATCTTCTTTCTCTTTCTTTATGAATGAACGGGTTCAGGTCTACGCATGCGCAGCTCCCAACGCTCCCGTTCCACGTGAGGCCCACCGGTCCCTCCTTGTGGGCGACTCCGCCCGCCCTCATTCTAATGGACCAATGGGTAGCAGCCTGGGGCGGAGCCGGGAGCCCGGGCCGGGTGTTCCGTCCCTCGCCCGCCCTTGGCGCTCGGCTCCTTTGCGTACAGCGGCTGTGTTGTGATCACGTGGGCTGTCCGGGGCGCGCTGCTTGTTTTGGTTTTCCTTCCTCTCACCGGGCGTAGCTTTGGTGAGCTTGCTGTCCTTCCCGGGCTCCACTGCTCCTAAACCTCAGCTGGTTGTTCGGGCTCTCTCGGCCCGCGCTCCTGGGAGGCCCTCGGGGCGGCGCCTTGTCATGCCGCTGGTGCGCTACAGGAAGGTGGCCATCCTCGGGTACCGCTCCGTAGGTGAGTCTTCACCCTGCCGAGAGCACCAGCAGTGGCACCGTTGCTTTGTGGCCAGAAGAGGCGCGCTGTCGCGGGAACGTGACACGAGGAGCCAATGTGGCCTGGGAGGAAGTCGGATTTACTGCCAGGCAATGGAAGAAGGGTGGAGGGATGTTGGAAGAGGAGCGCTCAAGGGTTAAAGTGGACCGGGCTGTATCAGTGGTCCCGGCTTTACTCTGGGAGTAGGGTTGGGATCGGCATTTGAAGGCGTGGTGGAGGTCTGTGTGGGGCAGGCACTTGCTAGGATCTGGTGCACTAGATCCTGAGGAGTCGTGGATCTTCCTAAGGGTGAAGTGGGGTTGGGCAGGGAAAGGCTTCCTGTGGCGCTACTGATGCATCCCATGCTGTGGAGTCAAGGCGTAAGGATGTTGGTTGTAATAGTCCAAGGGGACGCATTGCTTGAGAGTCTTAAACTGCCTGGGAAGCTGACCTGGGATGCATTTTGGTCCTGGCCACAGTCCGAAAGGACAAAAGGTGTTTATATAGGTGGATGATTGTATTACAACAATCTCTGGTCCTTAAAGGGAAGACATCTTTGGCACATCAATTTGTGGAAGGCGAATTCCTGGAAGGCTACGATCCTACAGTGGAGAATAGTGAGTAGTGTTCTTTAGTGTGAAGGAGATGGAATCTAGATAGACTGGTTGCCCTCTCCAACTCCATAATTTGATATTTCTTTGTTACCAAGGGGCTGAATTGCTTACATGTTAATCAGATCAGTCTGGGAATCCTGCAAGTGTCTAGGGCAGTGGTTCGCAGCCTTCCTAATGCTGTGACCCTTTAGTGCAGTTCCTCATGTTCCCCCACCATAAAATTATTTCCTGTCTACTTCATAACTGTAATTTTGCTACTGTTATGAGTTGTAATGCAAATACACAGGATATATATTTGACCCTCCAAAAGGTTGTGGCCCACAGGTTAAGAACCAATGGTCTAGACAGTGGAATTTTTAAGTATAGAATCTACTATATTAAAGATGAGGACAGCAAGAATCCTAGCCTAACTCTCCAGTTTCCTGGAGAGTTCCCTGGAACTAGTCTGTCTCTGTCATTCCCAGGGTCAGGGATATAAAGCAACACACATCACAGTCAAGAAGTTTTACTCTTTGTTTTTCCAGCTTACAGCAAGACAGTGACTCTTGGCAAAGATGAGTTTCATCTACATCTAGTGGATACAGCAGGGCAGGTACCAGTTGGGGTAGGGTGTCCAAATGTTGCAGTTCAGCCTTACTTACAGTCTTGTGGTCTGTGTGGTTCATGTGTGACATAGTGTGAAAAGGAAAACATTTTATCTGTTAACAGTGTGCAAGGCTCACTGGAGCCTGTTTCATAAGAACTTATTGAATGGGAGCAAGGAATGTCCCTGGGAGGGTCACCTGTATGCTATCCCACCCCCTTATACGATTTGAATGGTGTGGCTCTTAATAGTCATGTTTCTGTTTCTTGTCAGGATGAGTACAGCATTCTGCCCTATTCATTCATTATCGGGGTCCATGGTTACGTGCTTGTGTATTCTGTCACCTCTCTGCATAGGTACGTGACTAAGATTTTGAGTGGGGCTTGGAAGACTCAACAATAATCCTAGAACTGAGGTTAAAGCTCTGTCTCTTATGTTTTGAAGCTTCCAAATCATTAAGAGTCTGTACCAAAAGCTACATGAAGGCCATGGTGAAACTCGGTAAGTGGTCCCAGGAAATAGAGTATGGGCATGAGGGTTTCAAAGAAAGCAAACATGTGGATTCTTCAAGGAGGCTGGGCATAGATCATAGCTGGTCTGTTTGGGGAATCATCTGGCCTTGTTGTAGTTAGACTAGTTGGGGTCCATAGAGAATGGGGGAAGGACTTTTTTAAAAAAATTATTAATTTATTTTTTATATTCCAGGGAAAGTGCTCTTATAATCATATAATAGTAACTGCTGTTTCATCACAGGCTGCCTGTGGTACTTGTGGGGAACAAGGCAGATCTCTCTCCAGACAGGTGTGTAAACCTCTGCTGCTCATGGCAAAGGAAAGTAAGTTGTGCTAGGGATCAGTCAAACTGTAGTCCTTCCTGGCTGTGTTTGAGACAGGATCTTCACCATGTAGTTCAGACTGTCCTTTTAACTCCCTGTCCGTAATCCCCCATTTCAAGCTTCAGTCTTAATTTACCCATCATGCTTTTGTTTACATGTATTTTTTCTCACCTCACCCTCATTAAACCTGGGGGGAGGGGTGTGAAGGTCAAGAGGAAATCTAAATCTTAAAGAATTTTCAGAGAGCTTCAGACATTGTGTGTTGTTTTTTGTCTTTTTGTTTTGTTTTGTTTTTCAAGGCAGGGTTTTTCTCTGTAGTTTTAGAGCCTGTCCTGGAACTCTCTCTATAGACTAGAGTGGGCTGGAACTCACAGTCCAGTGCTGGAATTAAAGGCATGTGCTAGTCTACAGGTATTGTTATCTGCCTTTCATCTTTATGTTCCAAATTTGCTTTCAGAGAGGTGCAGGCAATTCAAGGGAAGAAGCTAGCAGAGTCCTGGGGTGCTACGTTTATGGAATCATCTGCTAGAGAGAATCAGGTGCTGAGCCTTAAGTCTAGACTTGGTGACAGTGTCTTCCTTACACATTGCTTGGTGGTGGGGATGGTGAGGGAGTGGTGTGTTTGCCTTAGAGCTGGGTAGTATTAGCACTGAACCAATTGACATACCTCTGAATCTGCTTATTCCTTGTAGTTAACTCAAGATATTTTCATCAAAGTCATCGAGGAAATCGCCCGTGTGGAGAATTCTTATGGGCAAGACCGCCGATGCTATCTTATGTGAGCTCTCAGCATGGAGTAGATTGTTTCTGCTGTAGGCGTTTTCCAGCCTGCAGTCAGGGGCAGACCCTCAGGACTTAACTTGTGTGGTTGCCAACTATGTTCCTGGTCCTGTGGGCATACTGTGTGGTGCCCTCATTTTTGCACACTCATCCCAAGTTCTGATAACCTGGATGTTAATGTTTACAAAGGGGCAAGGCGTCTCATGGACACTGGCTTCTAACTCCTTGTTTTTTAAAATTAACTTTTATAATATGTACAGTTGGATATGATATGAATCTTGAGCACTCATTATCCAGGACCCACCCTCCTGGGTAGTTTTTGGGTGTTGGTTAGGTAAGAGCATTGGTTGCTTGGCAGTTCTGAAGTAGAACTGGCTCCTGGGGTGACAGTGTGTATTTGCAAATAAACTGAGAAATCTTGTTGACTTCTTTGTGTCTGGGGAGAGCTTAGGAGCAATGGTTTCAATATTTAGTATGGAATCTTTTCTTACTCCCTGATTACGCAGGACCCCTAACCTAAGATTTAACTACTTGCCTTCTTCATCTATTTAGCCATTTTTGTTTTTCTATACTTCACCAATTTCTCTTTGGCTGCCCCACCCATCTAAGTTTGTGGGTTCTGAAGATCCCCCTTAACTACAGACATACTGCCCTCTAGTGGCCAGCTGCCATATGCTGACTAGCTGTTGTCCTGGGACCTTGACATTTGCTACACCTGAAGACAGAGGAAGCCCTTCATTTCTGGTGATATCAAAGAGAGTGGAAGTAGAGGCTAGAAGTGTGTGATTATCCAAGAAAATTGAGAAAAGTAAAAAAGTAGTGTGCTTGGTGGATATTCTGCACCCCTCATGTTTCTAGTCTCTGTATAGAGGTGTTTTCTTTTTTATTCATTTGCTTATCTTTTTGTACCTTGAACACCTTTGGAACTGTGCTATCTTTTAGGTGTCAAAGACATGTTTTTGCCATGTATAATTCACTGTTTCAGTAGGGTGGGTATTTCAGTTAGTAAGGGTGGGTCTTTTTTATACTTTCAAAATTATGTGTGTGGGGTGTACATGTGAGTGCAGGTACCTGAGGAGGCAGAGGCATCCGATTCCTGGGAGTTGTAGTTACCCGGGATGGTGAGTTGTTGGACATGGGTATTGGAATCTGCATGGGTCCTCCGTATAAGCTGAGCTGTCTCTCCAGCCCCAATCTTTGTTTCCCTTGACTACTCACCCATCCCCACAAATTCATCCCCAAAAGGAGTTGTAAGGGTTACCTAAGAGGCACCATAGAATAATAGAGGACAAAGACCTCTTCCAAGTGTGGGAAGCTGAAGTACCCAGTCAGCCTGTTCCCCATTTGTGAAGTACGTTGGCTTCAGGTACACCGCTGCAGTGTCAGCATTTTGAAGGTGGAGGAAGAGGGCCATCTTAGCCTGTATATTATGATGTCACATAATAGCCAGATACTCTACCACTGAACTATAGTTCCAGTCCTTTTTATTTTTTGGTTGAGACAGGGTTTCTCTGTGTAGCTCTGGCTGTCTTGGAACTCTTTCTGTAGACCAGGCTGGCCTCAAACTCAGAGGTCATCTGTCTCTGCTTCCCAAGGCCTGGGATTAAAGGTGTGTATCACTACTGCCCAGCTATTCCTTATTTTTAAAAAATTGTATTTTAAAAATGTGTGGGGGCATACCTTAACATTTAAATGGAGGTTAGAAGGCAACTTGCAAGAGTTGATTTCTCTTCTACATGTGGGTCCTGGGGGTTGAACTCAGATCTTCAGTGTCTTTTACTCATTGAGCTAGTCAGCTCTCTAGAGAGTTCCTTTTGAATTTTATTTTAAAAATTGGTTTGTTTATTTATTGTGTGGACAGTATTCTGCCTGTATGTCAGAAGAGGGCACCAAATCTCATTACAGATGGTTGTGAGCCACCATGTGGGTGCTGGGAACTGAACTCAGGACCTCTGGAAGAGCAAAGTGCCTTAACCACTGAGCCATCTCTCCAGCCCCTTGAATTTTTTTTTTTTTTTTAAGATTTATTTTTAGGCCAGGCGGTGGTGTTGGATACCTTTAATCCTACCTAGCACTTGGGAGACAGAGGCAGGTGCATTTGTGAGTTCAAGACCAGCCTGGTCTATAAGAGCTAGTTCCAGGACAGCCTCCAAAGCCACAGAAAAACCCTGTCTCGGGGGAAAAAAAAAGATTTTATTTTTAGCTGGGCAGTGGTGGCACATGCCTTTAATCTCAGCACTTAGGAGGCAGAGGCAAGTACATCTCTGAGTTTGAGGACAGCCTAGTCTACAGAGTAATTTCCAGGATAGCCAGGGCTTCACAGAAAATAATACCTGTCTCAAAAAAAAAAAAAAAAAAAAAACAAACAAACAATTAAAAAAGTTTTATTTTTACTGTATGGATGTTTTGCTTATATGTACATCTGTGTATTACTCATGTATTGTGCCCTATGAGGCCAGAAGAACATATCAGATTTCTTAGAAATGGAGTTAAGGATGGTTGTGAGCATTCAAGAAAGTTCTGGGAACCAAACTTAAGTCAGCTGGAAGATCAACCAGTGAGTGCTCTTTACTGCTGACAATCACTCTGGCCCTGAGTACACTAAAATAGGGTCTCACTAAGTAAATCTCCTAGATAGGCCTTGGCTCTGCCGGTGTTGCTTAAACCTCTCAGTAGATTGGTACCACCAAGCCTGGTATTTATTTTTAAATTTTTGTTGTTCTTTTGATAGGATTGTGTGTGTGTGTGTGTGTGTGTGTGTGTGTGTGTGTGTGTGTGTGTGTACTGTGGTACAACTGTGGAGGTCAGAGGACAACTTTCAGGAATTGATTCTCTCCATCCATTGTCCTGGACTTGAAGACATTTGGTAGCAAACTTCTTTATCTCCTGAGCCATCCCAGTCCAGAGGATGACTTTGAAGTCCTGATTTTCCTCCTGCTTTTACATTACTGGATTATATAGGATTGTAGTGTCAAACTCAGCCTAATACCGTGTATTAGAAAAAGAAGCCTTGAGCTGGAGAGATGGCTCAGTGGTTAAGAACATGTATTGCTTTTACAGAGGACCTGAGTTCAATACCCAGCACTTACATCAGGCAGCTTACAACTGCTTGTAACTCCATGGCCCTAAACTCAGGAACATGCACATATACAGACATACACACATGTACACATAAAAAAAACCTTTTGCAGAGGACCTAAGTTTGGTTCCCAGCCCCCACACAGCTCACAGCAGTTGGTAACTCTAGTTGTAGGGGCTCTGATGCCCTCTTCTGTCCTCTTGAGGTCCCTGCATTGAGATGTAGTACACAAAAGGTCACAAACATACACACAAATTATATCTATGTATGTATGTATGAAAATTTTAAGTCTGTTTCAGAGGATTAAAGTGGGGAATGGGGGGCCAGGTATGGTACATGTCTTTAATTTCAGCTCCCAGGAGGCAGAAGCGACATGGATCTGAGTTAGATGGTAGCTTTGTCTAGATGGCAGATTCCAGGGTAGTTGTGGCTACATAAGACCTTGTCTAAAAAAAAACAAAACCCCCGAAAACAAAAAGTGAGAATTGAGGTAATATATACAATGGTCAGGGTAGTGAATCACAGATTGATCTGTGAGGGTCTACTTTTCTCTCTTTTTTGGTACAGGGAGCAAGGAGGAGCCTTCCACTTTTCAATTCCCAGTTAAACTAGTTCTACTATAGCTTGAGATAGTCGTAAGGTCATTTGAAGTTTCTTTTTAAAAAATTTTGCTGAACCAGGCTTCAATGATCAGACTAGAAAATATGACATGGATAGTAGCATGTGTCTACTACTGATCTTCCTATGACCACGGGCTGATCGATTGGTACTGTCCAATATGGAAGGTCACCCATGACTAAGTTTAACATAGTTATAATTAAGTTACTGAGTTGCACCATCTACCAGCATTTCAAAGTACTCAATAGCTACATGTATCTAATGGCTATATTTGTGTGGATACAGCACATTTCCATCAGAGTGAATCATGTTGTACTTTCCCTGTAAAGGTACCCTCAGATCTAATTTGCCAGCTTTCCACTTTCCCTTCTTAACTTTTAAAATTACACTTATTTATCATTTGTGGGCACAATGGGTATGTAAAGATCAGAGGATAGCTTGCAATGAGTTCTTTCCTTCCAGTAGGTGGGCCACAGGGATCAAACACAGGTCTTCAGGCTTGGTTGGCAGTAAAGTGCCTTTTACCTCCAGGCCATCTCATTGGCCCTTAAATTTTTTTTTTTTTTTTTTTTTTTTTTTTTTTTTTAAATCTATGGGGGAAAATGGTTTGAATTATGGGTTAACTTCTCAGGGTGATAGGGTGATTCCTTGGCGATTTCCTCTAGTTTAGCCTCAATCTTTTCATCTGTAATATGGACATAATTCCCCCATGCTGGTGAGGAAAAACTTAGATGATATAAAGTATCAAGTACACAGTTAGTTTGTCTCAAATCGTTTACTCCATGTATAGTCTATGCAGAAAAGGTAATTCTATTTTTCCTATCAGACTTGGGGTGCAGGCACTTGCCAAGGTCTTACCCAGATTAACAGTATTCCATTCCAGCCAACAAGCACGATATTTAGCTTGTTTTTTTTTTTTTTAAATGAGAAGATTTTCGGGAAAAATTAAATACAGGGTGGGACGCTCTAGATATTTTGGTAGGGAAGTGGTGTCTGGGGATCGTGAGGACACAGATAGTCTTTACACCCGAAAGGGTCTTGGAGTTAGAAGACCTGAGACTCGTCCAGCTCTCTTCCGGCCCCCGAACGTGGCAAGAACCCACCCTTTGCAGCGCCAGGAGCCTTGCCTCACTTTCTCCATTTGCGGACTCCAGTTCCCAGGATGCCGAGCAGCGGCCAATCTCCAGGCTCTTTTTCCATTACACCCCCCCCCCCCATGGCAATGATTGTCCCCCAGCCAAAGCAAAGAGTTCCAAGGATCAGTCTATTTTTATGAAACATAATTAAGAAGTGGCCAGAATCCTCGTTTCACCACCTAGAAGGTAAAGGAGGCATTTCCTGGGCCGAGGCGGCGAAGAGGGGGGCTTTATTCCCACGTGTCTGCCCGGCAGCCAGGCTGGCGCAGTAGGGGTTAACCCGCGGCGGAGGGATTCCGGAGCGTGTGCGTAGAACTGCAGAGTCACAGCCTTTCCTCCAAGAGGGTTGTATCCCTCCGCCGCCCCGCTCCAACACAAAATAGGGCCTCCTCTTCTCCTTTCTCCCCTTCGGGAGTGGGGTTCCCCAGGCAAAGGCCCCCCCCCGGACCTCGCGCCGGACGCTCCTCGAGTCTCCACGACCGCTGCCCAGATCTCTGGCGAGGAAACAGCCTCTTCGCAGGAACCACCCTACCGGCCGAGCAGGAGGCGGAGGGGGGGAGGCGGAGCGGCGCCGCGCTGCACTACTTTCCTCTCCGGTTGCAAATGGCTGCCTCGTTCCCCACTTTCCGCTCAGTTTCCTGACCCCCCGGCGCCGGGAGCCGGGGTTGGACCATGCACCTCTAGACCCCCCGCGATCATAGCCTGCCGGGGGTCTAGGGGGTGCTGCGGACCACAGCCGACCAGGCCGGGGGCGGGGCAGCTCCCGAAGCCAGAGGGGAAGGGAGGCGAGCGCTGGGCCTGGAGCGGCCGGAGGGGAGCGGGCAGAGGGCTCGCACCGCCCGCCCCTTCCTCTTCCTCGCCCACCAACCCTCCTCCCTTCCCCGGGGGGAGCAGAAGGTGGGGGGCTCGAAGCCGCCGAGGGGGGACGCTCGGGGTCGCGGAGCCCGGCCGCTGGGTGTGTGTCAGGTTCGGCCCCGCCGGCTCCGCGTCGCCGTAGCTCGCGCGGCCCCGGGGCGCCGGCCGGGCGGGGAGAGGGGCTCGGCGCGACTGCTAGGGGCTCACGTTCCATCCGGGCCCGGCGCGCGGCGCGGCGCGGCGCGGCGCGGCATTCCTTCCGGGCTGCTGGGGAGGCGCCTCGACGTTCCATCTGGAGAGCCTCGACGTTCCGCCCGAGCCGGGCGCGGGCGGCCGGGGCGCTGGCCGGGCCCTAGGACTGCGAGGCCGCCCGGCGACGCGGATACGGAGCCTGTTTGCCCAAGATCAAAGCCACCGGTGCTCTCTTTGTGTCCGCTCGGGATTCGCCGCCCTGGGGCTGTCCATGGAAACCTAAACTGCTGGAACCCGAGGCAGAGAACCCTTCTTGGCTTCTTGCTTTTTTTTTTTTTTTTTTCTTTCGGGGGAAGGGTGGCCACTCCGACCTGGATTTACCGTTCTTGGCCCCCTTAAGCCCCCCCGAGTGGGGGGCGGCTGTGATCGCTCTGGCGGTTGGAGGTCGGGGAGCGGCCCGGGCTCTGGCCATGTTCTCGGATGAAGATTTCTGGATCGCCCTGTGAAGAGGTGAGTGAAGTCCGCCCGGCCTGTGCCCAGAAAGGGTTGGACTGGGGGCACAGCCAGATGGACTATCTTGGCCGGTGTTGGCCTTTAGGTTGGAGAAGGGGTTGCCAGAGCTGGGGAGGGTTCCTTTGGCGGGGTCTGTCAGGAGAACCTGAGCCAGCCACCAAGACAGAACTGAGGCCTGGTTTCTTGGGGTGTGCCTCTTTAAAGATACGGGGGTTCAGGGAACTACAGGAGTTTGGGAACATGTCCAGGTAGCCTCTCTGCCTGTTTATTTTCGTATTGAGGGAGTTCGACCAAACTAGGACCCAGGCCCTGATGCCAGCACCAATCCAGGCTTCTGTCCCCCACCCCCACCCCCACCCTCCAGGGTTCCTTGGGACAGAGCAACCCTGGCCGGGGGTGCCACTGCTAGGTCGGACTTATTGCCAGATTGGACTTTAGTGTTGTTCCTACCTAGCCTGGCACCCAAAACAGTCAGAGAAGGCCATGGAGACCTGGGTCCTTCACCAGGGGGGAGGGTGGGTGGAAACTGTTGCGATGAAGGGGGTGGCTGGGGCAGATTCTGGCCTTGCTGTTCAACTTGAAACTACCCCTGCCTGGCAAAGTGACCCCAGCAAGGCCTAGTGGTGTCTTAACCTGCTTTGCCTCCCCTCCTCTCGGGATGGACATAATCTCCAGGGGATTATAGAGGAGGCTGTTGAGATTTGTTCTCCACGAATGTGGGCTGCAAAAAAATGGCTTTTGTCTCCTGCTTTCTCTGGGCCTAGTGTAGAGAGTTAGCTGCCCATGAGTCCCTGGCCAACCCTGAAAGCCCCCACCAGACCTCTACAATGCTTTTCTGGTTACCGAGTGGCAAATAGTTCTCTGATGCTGTCCCAGCTTGCAGAATGGTGAGGTTTGTACCTCTTTGCTGGAGAAATGACTTTATTTGTGCTCTTTTCTGCTGGAAGCCAGTGTTTCCACCCCTGGTAGGAGGTGCTGGGGAGAAGGGGTGTGTATGTACAGCAGGAAGGGTGAAGCATGAACCTCCTGTCTCAGCCTCTGGGCCCTGGGCTGGAACAGCCTCTCTCTCACACCTGTCATGTTGACCAGCAGGGATTTGGCTAGTGCATTTTGCTCCCTCATTTCACCCCTCCATAATACATTTGCTAGATCGCTTTGAGTCTTGTCTCAGAAAGGGGCAAGTAGGGCTTCTGTCCTTGAGAGATTTGAGAGGTGGTAGAGTAGGGTGAGCTGTCATCAGTGGTCTCTGAGTCTGTTGTCTGTTCTCCAATGACTTTCTTAGGTGGCACTGTACCTTGTTAGCTCTGGCTATCCCTAGGCTGACCTGTCCCAGGGACAATGTGTTACTATTTGGATCCTTCCTAGAGGGCTGCCTGAAAATGGGGGTGGAGAGAGGTGCAGTTTGATTCTCTAGCTGGGAACCAGGAAGTCCTGAGTCCCACTGAAGAGCTGTTCACTCAAGGGCCTGCTCCAGCCTTTCACCCCTCCAAGCCTCCATTTCCTCCCTTGCAGAGAAAATGGAGTGAAATCTATTGGTCTAGGGTGAACACAGGAAGGAAAGTGGCTGAGTAAATCTCTGCCCTCTTCTTGCTGCTTTGGGCCTTTTAGATGTAAGACTAAGAAGTGTCAGCTACTAGAACAGAAGGACCCTGGCCCAGGTACTAGCCTAGTTTCGATCCAGGGAAAACCCCCTTGGGATGTATATGTGTGTCTCTGTTTACTGGCTGTGAATGATGGGACAGGGGAAACCTTTGCCTTTATTTGCTTAAATGCCTCCAGATTGCTCTGACACTTGGTATTTTGGTATAGATGCTGGACTATAGGCTTGAGTAGTCAGGGGCTAAGGTTTCAGGCTTCTTGGAGATGCTCCTGACTATGGTACAGAAAAAGGACAGTTTGCTCTTTGCTGTTCAGTCTTTTACCTTCCAAAGCTCCATGAGTGGGACTCTTACTTTGGAGGGCATTGCTACTCTGTTCCTCAAGGCTAGATGAAGAAGGTAGTTTCTGTACCTTCTTGGGCAGTGCTAGCTTTACCAGCCTGAGAAAGCTGTGCTTGGGGGAGGGCAGAGGAATTTGTCCCTCGGCCTTGTGTGAGGCGGCCCTCCTCCTACCCACTGTATTATCACTGTTGCTTTCTATTTGTTGCTGTTTGTGGCTCCCTTGGCCTCAACTCTGAGAACAAAGTTGGTGGAGGATCCATAGAAAAAAAAATGGTAAGATGTAAACATTTAGAAAATGTTGAAGTCCTCTTGGACCTTTGGTGTGACCATTGAGTAGGAAGATGGGCCTGGCTTGAGCCTTGACCTCCAGTTCCCACTTCCTACAGGTGGCTTCGGAGGAATCCTGCTTTGTTGTAAATGGACTGTTGTGTGTGAGGTTTGGGAAGGAGGTAGTTGGGAATGGAGGTAATAGACATCAGGTGAAGCCTTGTGTCCCTCACCTGGTAGGGTCTGAGTGTCAGGAGGAAAATAAAGTAGCACCCTTTACTTTGACATGGCTCAGGGGAGTATTGCCAACATTTGGAAATGAAATTGTGAACTTAGGGAAGGAAAACTGATATTGCACTCACTGGAGAATTGGTTTACTGATCTTGGGCACTTTGAGTGTTTGTCTTGTTATTCAGCCCCAAGTGATGGACCAGATTATTTGCTGTCCTGTTTTAGAGTTTAGGGTTATCTGTACTCAGGTTGGTGTGATCACTGGCTAAACAAGGGGAGAAGAAAAGATGGGAGATGAATTTCTCAGACTGTTACTATTTACAGTTCTTTTTCTGGGATTCTCCATACCTCACCTTCTTTAGAAGCACTAGACTCTGATTAAGAAAAGGGTCCACCCCACTCACTTAACAGTTGCAGGCACTTATCCTTTACAACCTTCTGATGTAGGGTTTCTTTCCTAGTTATAATCTTGGTAATTTTTGTCTGTTTACAACAGTGTAACTATGTAGCTCTGCCTGGCTTGGAACTCTTTATGTAGATCAGGCTGGCCTCCAACTTGCATTGATCCCTCTGCTTCTGTCTCCCAGGAAATGGCATTTTTGTATGTGCCACCAGGCCTAGCATCTCTGTAATTCTTACTCTTGCCTCCTCTCAGTCTTTAGTTTGCTGCTTTGGAGGTCAAGGAAAATTCACGCAATATTCTTTGGGTCTTAAGTTTTTCAGATGTAGATTTGTGTATTTCATTGGGTTTTGATATATGCTGGACTCTCTGAGAAGGGAGAGAGGGACCGTTAACTCTGCGAGTATTTGGAAACCCTGCTTGACTTAAGAGGAAGGAAACTATTCTGCTCTGTTATGTCCTGCCCCATTTAGCCCTCCTCCAAGTAGCAATGTGCTTCCTGAGACTACAATTCCCAGCATGCTTAGCCCCAGGCCTGCTTACACATGCTCAGTCACTCTTAAGGCCCACTTCTGTTAACTACTAGGAGCATCTAAGAAAGAAGGGCAGTTGGCGTTGCTAAGGGCAACAACCTGAGGCCTTCATGCTAGGTGAGACCCAGGGCTTATTTAGTGCCGGGGCCAGTGGTGGTACTGAGTTTCATGCCTGGCAATTGAGGGCTCCTTCTATTGTGTTTGGGATGTCCTTGTTGAAAGCAGTGGAGATCCATTCATAGCTAGCCTTTAGTTTAGTACTGTGTTGAATCTCTTGCAAGACCCTAGGGATCTGCCTTTTGAGGGAGGGATTTTGGCATGGTAGGGGTAGGTTGCTACTTTCAGGACTGTAGAATAATGGTAGATGATCCGAGACCTACAGATAAAGGCCAATGAATATGGCCCAGAAGTTAAGATGAGAAAATTGATTGTACTAAATGTAACTCCATGTATTTTTACTTGGATGTGATTGCCCTAGGAACTGTTATGGAGGAGGGTGGAATTGGGAAAGCAGAATAGATACCCTGAGAGGAAGTGGGTAGTGGGATAAGACAGAATGGTTTTACTTGTCATTACTGTAGAGATTTGTAGACAAGGTTTGTCTCTGATGTCTAAGAGGTTGATTACCATGAGCTGACTTCTTATAATGGGAAAAGGCTCATTGGAGAAGCTTACTGGACATGCAAGTATCTTTTGGCACCAACAGGTCTCCCCGAGAGGGCCCTGCCCAGTCGGAGAGAGGGATGGACAGCCAGAAGCCGCCTGGTGAAGATAAAGATTCAGAACCGGCAGGTTGGTAGGACAAATTCTGAGTGCGCTGACAGCTTTGGGCTCCTCATGGGTAGCCCTTTATTTCTGGTCCTGGCACAGGTCCTGACTAAGTCTGTAATAGACAGGTAATTGAAGAACTTTGTTCTTTGAGATGCAAGTTTCAATTGCATCTCTGTGAGCCACTGAGAGTTTAGATAATTTCATGCATGTGTTGAGTGAATTTAGTAATCTCAGGCTGATATGTGCTCTTCTGTTTATTCAGCTGATGGACCTGCAGCCTCTGAAGAGCCAGGTGCCACTGAGCCAGACCTTCCTAACCTGTGCGTTGGGGAGGTCTCTGTCCCCAGTTCTGGGAGTCCCAGGCTTCAGAAGCCTCCTCATGATTGCAGGTAACTTGTTTGTGGAAAATGGGACTTTCTGGGCACATAAAGGTTTGATTGGTGTCTAGGGCTTTACAGAAGCGGATGTGAGAGAATGAAATGAGTAGGATGTATGAGTATGCCAGTCATGGGGTTGTCAGGTCCTGGCATAGTGCTGATGTTTGTGTGTCCACAGTGGGGGTCCGGCACGGCGATGTGCTCTCTGTAACTGCGGGGAGCCCAGCCTGCATGGGCAGAGGGAGCTCCAGTGCTTTGAATTGCCATTTGACTGGCCCCGGTCTCCAGAGGTGTCCTCTGGGGGAAACCCGGGGCCCCGTGAAGCAGTGCTGCCCAGTGAGGACCTGTCACAAATTGGTTTCCCTGAGGGCCTTACACCTGCCCACCTAGGAGAACCTGGAGGTGAGTGAGAGAGGTGGATTTGGAAGCAGAGTGGAAGCTGGCAGTCTTGAGTTACTAGTCACTGTGTTCATTTGTTCCTCTCTGCTTACCTCTTCCCAACTCTAAAGGGCACTGCTGGGCACATCACTGGTGTGCTGTGTGGTCAGCAGGTGTGTGGGGGCAGGAGGGCCCAGAACTATGTGGTGTGGACAAGGCCATCTTCTCAGGGATCTCACAGGTAGGTCCGAGGTGAAGGCAGGGCTGGTGGGCTCCTGTGAATCAGGGCAGAGTGCCATGCTGAGAAAGGCTGAGCTGTTGTCTAGAGACAGCTGGCTGGCTCTGAGGCTCTCCGTTCCTCCTCGCAGCGCTGCTCCCACTGCACCCGGTTTGGTGCCTCCATTCCTTGCCGCTCGCCTGGATGTCCACGGCTTTACCACTTTCCCTGTGCAGCTGCCAGTGGTTCCTTCTTATCCATGAAAACACTGCAGCTGCTCTGCCCAGACCACAGTGAGGGGGCTGCACATTTGGGTGAGAAGTCCTGTTCTTTGGAAATAGAGCAAATGAAGGACCAAGTGGGCCACAAAGCATTCTTCAAAGATATAAAGTCATTCTGTCCCAGGAAGATGGATGCAAACTTTGTTGGAACAGGGACTTTGCCTATATTTATTTACTCTGGTATCTGCAGTACCTACAGTAGTACCTAGCATGTATTTAATAGACACTTGGTAGCTCTTTTTTTATTCTGTGCCCATGAATACCTGATGGCTGTATATTACAGTGCTCAGTTATATGAGCACTGGTAGCTGACCCGCACTGTCCCTTCCTATTGCAGAAGAGGCTCGCTGTGCAGTGTGTGAGGGGCCAGGGGAGCTGTGTGACCTCTTCTTCTGTACCAGCTGTGGGCATCACTATCATGGAGCCTGTCTGGACACTGCTCTGACTGCCCGTAAGCGTGCTGGTTGGCAGTGCCCTGAATGCAAAGAGTGCCAAGCCTGCAGGTAAGGAAGGGTATGAGGGCTGATGTGTAGCCATATGCAAAGTGGGAACAGAAAATAAGGCTGGGAAAGATCTCATAATGTGTCTTGTGCCCTTCAGGAAACCTGGGAATGACTCTAAGATGTTGGTCTGTGAGGCGTGTGACAAAGGATATCATACGTTCTGCTTAAAACCACCCATAGAGGAACTGCCTGCTCACTCGTGGAAATGTATGGTGAGTATCTTCTGATGCCACCTTCTTCAGCATCTCCAGATTTGCCTTGCTTTTACTGTCCTGTGTACTCCTGTCTTCAACTGTGGTTTGACTAGTGTCTGTCTTGCATGCTCGCTTCCCCTAGACATGCCGGGTATGTCGGGCCTGTGGGGCAGGCTCAGCAGAACTGAATCCGAACTCTGAATGGTTTGAGAACTATTCGCTCTGTCACCGTTGTCATAAAGCCCAGGGAGATCAGCCTGTCATTTCTGTTGCTGAGCAGCACCCACCTCTCTGTAGCAGGTAAGCCGTGTACACTGAGATTGGGATGGGGTATCCGAAGGGGTGAGACTGACAGGGCCCATGTAAAACCAGTGTACATTCAGCAGTGCAATCCATAGTATTTATGCCTTGTCCCAGTGTGCTCTCTGGGAGCTGTTAGATGGTGAGAGCCACAGTGCCTGCTTCCCTGTACCCTCTGCAGATTTTCACCCCCAGAGCCTGGTGATGTCCCCACTGATGAGCCTGATGCTCTGTACGTTGCATGCCAAGGGCAGCCAAAGGGTGGGCACGTGACCTCTATGCAACCCAAGGAACCGGGGCCCCTGCAATGTGAAGCCAAACCACTAGGTGAGTAGGGCTTAAAGGTCCCTGAAATTAATCTTTTGTTCTGTGGCAAGAGACAGTTTTCACTTTGCCTCAGACCCTGCACTGTTTGTGGAGTTAGAGCTGAGCTTGGTAAGAATTGAATATGTTATGTCTACAGGGAGAGCAGGGACCCAACTTGAAGCCCAGTTGGAGGCTCCCCTAAATGAGGAGATGCCACTGCTGCCCCCGCCTGAGGAGTCACCCCTGTCTCCACCACCTGAAGAATCACCTACATCTCCACCACCTGAGGCCTCACGCCTGTACCCACCACCTGATGAATCACCTGAATCCATGCTCCCCGAGGCCTCACGCCTGTCCCCACCGACTGAGGAATCACCCCTTTCTCCACCACCTGAGGAGTCTCCTTTTTCTCCACTGGAGGAGTCCCCTCCATCTCCTGCACTAGAGACGCCCCTGTCCCCACCGCCTGAAGCCTCACCCCTGTCTCCACCATTTGAGGAATCTCCTCTCTCCCCTCCACCTGAGGAATTGCCCACCTCCCCACCACCTGAAGCATCTCGCCTGTCTCCACCACCTGAAGAGTCACCCATGTCCCCTCCACCAGAAGAGTCACCCATGTCCCCTCCACCTGAGGCATCTCGTCTGTTCCCGCCATTTGAAGAGTCTCCTCTGTCTCCTCCACCTGAAGAGTCTCCTCTGTCCCCACCCCCGGAAGCATCACGCCTGTCCCCACCCCCTGAGGACTCGCCCATGTCCCCCCCACCTGAGGACTCGCCCATGTCCCCCCCACCTGAAGTATCCCGCTTCTCTCCCCTGCCTGTCCTGTCACACTTATCTCCTCTGCCTGAGGTGTCACGGCTATCCCCACCCCCTGAGGAATCTCCCCTGTCCCCACCCCCTGAGGACTCACCCACATCACCTCCACCTGAGGCTTTGCGACTGTCCCCTCCTCCTGAAGACTCCCCAGTGTCACCACCACCAGAGGACTCACTTATGTCCCTGCCACTAGAGGAGTCACCCCTGTCACCACTGCCTGAGGGACCGAGACTCTGCCCTCAGCCTGAGGAACCATACCTGTCTCCCCAGCCTGAGGAGCCCCGACTCTGTCCCCAGCCTGAGGAGCTACCCCTGTCTCCACAGTCTGAGGAGCCATGCCTGTCCCCTGTGCTTGCAGAGCCGTGTCTGTCTTCTCAGTCTGAGGAACCACACTTGTCTCCTGTGCCTCAGGAACATTTGTCCCCTCAGCCTGAGGAACCGCATCTGTCCCCTCAGCCTAAGGAACCACACCTGTCTCCCCAGTCTGAGGAGCCTTGCCTGTCCCCTATGCTTGAGGAGCCATGCCTGTCCCCCAAGCCTGAGGAACTATACCAATCTCCTCGACCTGAAGAACCTCCTGAGGAACCAAGCCAGTGCTCTGCACCTAAGGCGTTATCCTTGTTTCTCCCAACTGGGGAGCCACCTTTATCCCCCATGCTTGGAGAGCCAGCCGTGTCTGAGCCTGGGGAACCACCTCTATCCCCACTTCCTGAGGAACTACCCTTGTCCCTATCAGGGGAGCCAGCCTTGTCACCTCAGCTGATGCCACCAGGTAAGGAGATGTTAATGTCCCCCTACCGTGGGGCAGTCTTGATACTTGCGGCGGCGTCTAATCTAACAGCCTCTCTTTTTCTCTTCTCCCCAGATCCTCTTCCTCCTCCGCTCTCACCTATTATCCCAGCTGCGGCTCCTCCAGCCCTGTCTCCTTTGGGGGAGTTAGAGTACCCCTTTGGTGCCAAAAGGGACAGTGACCCTGAGTCACCATTGGCTGCCCCCATCCTAGAGACACCTATCAGCCCTCCACCAGAAGCTAACTGCACTGACCCTGAGCCTGTACCCCCAATGATCCTTCCCCCGTCTCCAGGCTCCCCAATGGGGCCTGCTTCTCCTATCCTCATGGAACCCCTTCCTCCACCTTGTTCCCCACTCCTTCAGCATCCTTTGCCTCCGCCACCCTCTCCTCCTTCCCAGTGTTCCCCTCCCGCTCTGCCACTGTCTCTTCCCTCCCCATTGAGTCCTGTGCATAAGGCAGTGGATGTCTTGGATGAGGCTGAGCTGCATGAAATGGAGACTGAGAAAGGTCCAGAACCTGAGTGCCCAGCCTTGGAGCCCAGTGCCACCAGTCCTCTGCCATCTCCTATGGGGGACCTTTCTTGCCCTGCCCCTAGCCCTGCCCCTGCCCTGGATGACTTCTCTGGCTTGGGAGAAGACACCACCCCTCTAGATGGGGCTAATATTAATGCTTCACAGTCAAGGACCGGTCAGACCCCTGGCAGTTTGGCTAGTGAACTTAAAGGTTCTCCTGTGCTCCTGGACCCTGAGGAGCTAACCCCTGTGACCCCTATGGAGGTCTACGGCCCAGATTGCAAGCATGCAGGGCAGGGCTCACCCTGTGAAGAGCAGGAGGAGCTTGGTGCACCAGTGGCCCCCATACCATCTACTCTCATCAAATCAGACATCGTTAATGAGATCTCTAATCTGAGCCAGGGCGATGCCAGTGCCAGTTTTCCTGGTTCAGAGCCCCTGCTGGGCTCTCCTGATCCTGAGGGGGGCGGCTCCTTGTCCATGGAGCTGGGAGTGTCTACAGATGTTAGTCCAGCCCGAGATGAGGGCTCCCTGCGCCTCTGTACTGACTCACTACCAGAGACTGACGACTCACTGTTGTGTGATACTGGGACAACTATCAGTGGAGGCAAAGCAGAGGGAGACAAAGGGCGGCGGCGCAGCTCCCCAGCCCGGTCCAGAATCAAACAGGTAAGAGGCTCTTCAGTACCAGGTATGCTCACATTCCTGTCACAGCCCTAGCTGCCTCTGTTCCTATCTATCTGGGTTCTTTCAGACACCCTTCAGTCCAGCTCTGCCTAGCTGACCACTGTGCATAGAGGGGGAAATGATTTACCCAGGTTCACGGTCACTCAGAAATAGAATTGGGAACCAAACTTGGTATTCTCAACTCATTTTTTTTTTTTTTTTTTTTTTTTTTGTCCTTATCCCACGTTCACCATTCTTGAAAGAGAAGATTGGCCTGGCCTGGTCACTACTTGTTGCTGTTTGGAAACTTAGCTTTCCTGTCCTTTGAGTAGGACACTGGGTCTTTTTTGTTATTGTTGCTTTTATTGTTTTTTTTTTCTTTAAACCTGTTACACTGTGTCATCTTTCTTCCTCCAAGCCTCTGGACCCAACACACTTGGTGCTGAATGGCCCTCTTTCCTTACTTAGGGCCGTAGCAGTAGTTTCCCAGGAAGACGCCGGCCTCGTGGAGGAGCACATGGAGGAAGAGGGAGAGGACGGGCTCGACTGAAATCAACCACTTCTTCCATTGAGACACTGGTAGTAAGGAAGGGCTCTACAAAACATCCCCCACCCCACCAAGCTTGCTTCACATGATTCTCAGAGTTAAGCAAGCTTAAAATCCTGTCAGTTGTCCCTGATAGTCTAGGGCTTGACTGCTTGGCTCCGAGGGTTCTTGAAATCTCTATCATTGTGCCCCCCAGCTGGGGAATTGGAGTGTTCTGTCTCTGAGTCCTTCATCTTAGCCAGGAATTCACACCTCTTTCCTGAGTGTGGGAGAGAGGACAGCTTAGCTGGAGCAGGCTTCTCTTCACATTTTACAACTTTCTCCTTATTAAGGTGGCTGATATTGATAGTTCTCCTAGCAAGGAGGAGGAGGAGGATGATGATGACACCATGCAGAACACTGTGGTTCTCTTCTCTAATACAGACAAATTTGTTCTAATGCAGGTATCGTACTGAACTGGGATGACCCCAGCTTTAGTGGTGAAAGTAGGCATGCTGAGCTCTGTGTGTGGGGGGGGTGGTGGGAAAAATCAGGTACCCACTTTGCTAATGAGGAAGTGGATGGCAATTGCCGAATGGTAAAAAGGGCAGAAATGTGGTCTCAGGAGCCTAAATGATCTTGAAGTGGCTGTATATTTTGCCACATACAACTCTTACCAGACAAATCTTCACCCTGGCTAGTCTTCCTGTGATTTCTTATATTTACTGATGCGGGACTGTACTTCTGGTTACTTGAAAGGGCCAGGAGGGCATCCTAGGGAGGTACAGCTTTTGTGAGTTGGGTGGGAGATACAAGGCCTTCTGGTGACCTAGTGTCACCTATGAAATGGGCTTCTGATTGCCTCCCTGGTCTTTGTCTGGGACCTGGGACAGCGAAGAGACATACTTGCAAGGCTTAGCAGTAATGGTTGCAAGCAAGAGGACCTGAGTTCAAATCCCCAGTACCTATGTAAAAACTGGGTATGACCGTCCATGCCTGTAACCTGTAACCTCAAGTATTATGGGGAGGAGACCAGTGGATCCCAGGAGCTTGTTGGCCAGTCAGCTTAGTTGAGATTGTGAGCTTTAGGTCTGTTGAGAGACCCTGTCTCAGAGAATAGACTAGAAAGTAATAGAAGAACCCTTGACTTCTTCCATATAACCCCAACCCCATACTCCTCCCTCCCTCACACAGAAAGACAACAAGACAGAGGCAGAGGCATGCTTGGATGTTTGGGTTTCTGTGTTTCCACAGGACATGTGTGTGGTGTGTGGCAGCTTTGGCCGGGGGGCCGAGGGCCACCTCTTGGCCTGTTCTCAGTGTTCCCAATGCTATCACCCTTACTGTGTCAACAGCAAGGTGAGTTTCAGGGCCCAAGATGTACAGGCTACAGGCAAAGTTGTTCCCCTTTTCCCCTATTCCCCCATTCTTGCCTCACTGTTTTTATTATTTTATTACCTTTATCTGGTGTGTATGGTGGGGGAATGGGGAGTACATGTATCAGGGTGTAACTGTGGAGGTCAGAGAGCATCTTGTGGGATCATTTCTTTCCTTCTACCATGTGGATCCCAGGGATCAAACTCAGGTCATCAGACTTGTGGCAAGTGCCTTTGTCTTTAGAGCCATCTTATCCCCACACACGATTTCTTAAAGTGGCTGTGGCTCTTGGAAGTCACTGACTAGTTGTGCTTGGGAATTCACAGTTGACGTTGTAGTTTCTTTGTATAGGCAAAACTTGCTGGTGTAATTTAGTTCATTGTGTAAATGTTGACAATTTTACTAGTAGGAAACATGGTATATGGCTAGGAGTGGTGGCATATGTCTTTAATGCCACACAGAGACAGATCTTTTGTGAGTTTAAGATCAGCCTGGCCCATATAGTGAGCTCCAGAATAGCCAGAGCTACATAGTTGAGACCCTGTTTCAACAAAACCAAACTACGGTATAGTCTGGAAGTAGATCATAGAATAGAGACTAACTCCATATCCACAAATAGCAGTGCCTTTAACCTAAGGCATAATCAGTCTTTTGGGGTTTTTCCAAAACTATTAATTTAGTAATTAACCCATTGCTAACATTACTAGCTTGTATTAGTAACAGGTTCTAAAAGGTGAGGAAGAGTTGAGGGGAAATGAACTTAATGGGTCATCAGTTTGGGGGTCTGCTTAGTGAAGGATGTGTATTTCACTCTTAGGGTTGGAACATTGCTAGTGATGTGGTTCTCTGTTCATCAGAGACCCCAGGAGCCTCTGGAGATGTACTTTTGGGGGGCAAAGAGTGCTCTGTATAAATTTTTCTTTCAGAGGTCTGGCCTTCCGACATATAAGCCCTGTGTCCCCCTGCCCGTACACACACCTGAGGCATCTCTTTCTCTATACCAGATCACCAAGGTGATGCTGCTAAAGGGCTGGCGTTGTGTGGAGTGTATCGTTTGTGAGGTGTGCGGCCAGGCCTCTGACCCTTCACGTCTGCTGCTCTGTGACGACTGTGACATTAGCTACCATACTTACTGCCTGGACCCTCCACTGCTCACTGTGCCCAAGGGTGGCTGGAAATGCAAGTGGTAAGAACCCTGGAGTCTTTCAGGGGTCAGACAGGAGATACAGTTAGAATAGATACAATGTTGAATGCTTTTGTTTAGGGAACCAGCCTGCTGGTTTGGTTCTCAGTGAGGTGCCTCTGGGAACCTAGGTTAGGTGTTGAAGGTCTTTCTGTCTCTCCTAGGTGTGTGTCTTGTATGCAGTGTGGGGCCGCCTCCCCTGGCTTCCACTGTGAATGGCAGAATAGTTACACACATTGCGGGCCCTGTGCCAGCCTGGTGACCTGTCCTGTCTGTCATGCTCCCTATGTGGAGGAAGACCTGCTAATCCAGTGTCGCCACTGTGAACGGTGAGAGCATCCCTTTCTCCTCGTGACCCCTTCATGTGCTAGTATCAGCTGGCTTTGCTGTGCTCATCCCCATCTCCCTCCTCCCAGGTGGATGCATGCTGGTTGTGAGAGCCTTTTCACAGAGGATGAAGTGGAGCAGGCTGCGGATGAAGGCTTTGACTGTGTTTCCTGTCAGCCCTATGTGGTGAAGCCTGTGGGTGAGTGTCAGCTTGGAAGAAGCAAAGAGGACACAGTGTGTCTTCCTTGGGGACAGTGCCCTAAGCTCCTTGTGGTTTGTCCTCCTTCCCACAGCACCTGTTGCCCCACCAGAATTGGTACCTGTGAAGGTGAAAGAGCCAGGTAAGTCACGGAGATTCTGAATACCCAAACCAGCTAAGACCATCTCTTCTGCTCCATCCTCAGGGTAAATGGCCTACCTAAGGTCACTTACCAAGTTAGTGGCAAAGTTATGGTTAGAACCAAAGCCTTCCTATCTTTACTAGGCAAGTCAGCTTCTCTACTAGGAGAGTTTCATTCAGGAGAGCACACCTTTCTTCTTACAGAAGGGGACAAGGTCATCTTTTCTGCTACAGTGCAGTCTAGGGCTCAGAGTGCTATCATTCAGCAAGTAGGGTTCTTCCTGTTCCTTGTTAGCGTGAGAATCCATTCAGTGAACCCGTGGTTAATAGGTTCTGGATACACCTGGGACTCTGCAGTAACAGACTCAACTCGGGGTCCCTCAGTTGCTAGTAGAGCCTCCGGTGACTTTTATCTCCAGCCCTTAGAGTCTGGCAGGACTTGTCTGTCACTGTTTGTGTCTCAGCTGGGACCAGGGGTTGAAATTTGGAGTTTTGGTTTCCCTGGGCCTCCGTCCAGGGGTCACATGTTCTTCCCTGTTGTCCAGAGCCCCAGTTCTTTCGCTTCGAGGGTGTGTGGCTGACAGAAACTGGCATGGCGGTGCTGCGTAACCTGACCATGTCACCACTGCACAAGCGGCGCCAGCGGCGAGGACGGCTAGGCCTCCCAGGCGAGGCAGGGCTGGAGGGTTCTGAGCCCTCAGATGCCCTTGGCCCTGATGACAAGAAGGATGGGGACCTGGAGACTGACGAGCTGCTCAAGGGTGAAGGTTGGGCTGGGGAATCTCAGAGAAAGGCAGACAGTGGGAAAAGCACAGCCCATTGGAGTTGGGATGTTGGGTAGGGGCTACATAGCCACTACTGGTCATCCTCTAGCATTGTTGGTCTTGTTCAGGTGGCACTGTGGCAGGTTCCTGGGTTCCCTCTTGCAGGATGACAAGGGTAAAAGGACCCATTCCTCTGACCTGCCCCCATCTCTTGTGTCACACGCAGGTGGTGTGGAGCACATGGAGTGTGAAATCAAACTAGAAGGCCCTGCCAGCCCTGACGTAGAACCTGGCAAAGAAGAGACAGAGGAAAGCAAAAAACGCAAGCGCAAACCCTATCGGCCCGGTAAGGCCCTGGAGTGGGGTTGTGGGTCACTAGGGGGCCCCTCACCAGGTCTCTAGTGGCTTCTTGTTCCTAATTGTGCTTCCTCACAGGCATTGGTGGTTTCATGGTACGACAGCGGAAATCTCATCCACGTGTGAAAAGGGGGCCTGCTGCACAGGCCGAGGTGTTGAGTGGGGATGGGCAGCCCGACGAGGGTGAGACGGGTGAGGGCTCCAGTGGGGCCTGGGAAGAAGGTGGGGATTACAGCACATGGGCAGTGCCAGGGAGAGCAGGTGTGGGCTCACTTCAGGGCAGCCAAAGTGGGTGGAGGGTCCAACTGGTTGAGGAAGGAGTAGGTAGAGAGAGTCTCCCCACAGAGTTGACCCTGGCATGCCTAGTGTCCTCAGAAAGTCTGAGCCCTTCTCCTTTGTCTGTAGTGATGCCTGCTGATCTGCCTGCTGAGGGCTCTGTGGAACCAAGCCTTGCTGAGGGGGATGAAAAGAAGAAGCAACAGCGAAGAGGGCGCAAAAAGAGCAAGCTGGAAGACATGTTCCCTGCTTACTTGCAGGTAGCTTTCAGACTCCCTAGGGTGAAGGCAGGGTCTGCACGTGCACCACATAGCATCAAGAAACCGTCTCTCTTGACTCCTCTTTCCTGCAGGAAGCCTTCTTTGGGAAGGAACTGCTGGACCTGAGTCGGAAAGCCCTTTTTGCAGTTGGGGTGGGCCGGCCAAGCTTCGGACCCGGAGCTCAAAAGCCCCGAGGGGATGGAGGTTCAGAGAAGAAGGAGCTCACTGCCTTGCACAAAGGTCAGTTGATGGAAATGACATGCTCTGGGGTGTCCAGTCCACCTTTCTGCCTCATAGTTGGCAAAAGTGTCTAGGGGGAGGGCTGGCCAACTAAGGGTGGGCCAAGATCTCCCCACCCCCACCCCCACCCCCAATTGTGGGCATCAGGTGTCACTCACCTCTGATTGGAATGGAATTGTTCCTCATAGGAGAGGATGGTCCAGATGTTGCAGATGAAGAGTCCCGTGGGCCCGAGGGCATGGCTGATATGCCAGGTGAGGGCTGCTGGGGGAACTGGGTCTTGCTTAGTTTTGCTTGTTATCGGTTGGCTCTGCCCCTGAACACTGCCAGAGTTGGGGCCTGGACACAGTTCCCTGCCTCCTGGGGGTCACATTGGCCTCTTGTCGTACCTCCATACCTCTGTGACTGGTGGTTTTCTTCTGGAAGTTACAGGTCTTGAGGATGGGGGTGTAAAGGCATCACCAGTGCCCAGTGACCCTGAGAAGCCAGGTACTCCAGGTGAAGGAATGCTTAGCTCCGACTTAGACAGGATTCCCACAGAAGGTAAGGCTTGTACAAGGTGGTCTTCTGTATAAGGGTCCTCCATGGGAAAAGAAGTTCCTGTCTGTGGGACCGATGGAGATTTCTCTGGCGGGAGAGTCCTGGTTATACCTTCCTTGGCCATGACCATTTGTCATTCTGTGGTGTCATGTGAACCTCCTCCTCAGCAGTGTGCTTTGTCATCGCCCCCAACACAGAACTGCCCAAGATGGAGTCCAAGGACCTGCAGCAGCTGTTTAAGGATGTCCTGGGTTCAGAAAGAGAACAGCATTTGGGTTGTGGAACTCCTGGCCTAGAAGGCAGCCGTACACCATTGCAGAGGCCCTTTCTCCAAGGTGCTTATGGCAGGGAGCTGATTGCAACTCTGAGGAAGGTGCTTTGTTACCTCAGTGGGCCAGCCGCTGCTGGTTTCACTGACCCTGTTGCTCTTGCAGGTGGACTCCCTTTGGGCAGCCTCCCCTCCAGTAGCCCAATGGACTCCTACCCAGGCCTCTGCCAGTCTCCCTTCTTGGATTCTAGGTTGGTATCTGTGCTTAACTATCATGGGTGGTCCTTGTTGTCCTCTACTGTCCCGGCCCTCTATGTGGTCGCTGCCTTGCCTGCTTTTGGCTCTGAGCCACTGAAGAGACAACTGTCTGTTCTTTCTACTCCCTTCTTAGAGGCCTTCCTCAAGAGAGACAGAGCAGTGGCTTGGGGCTCTGGGCGATTTGTCTGGGGTGGGTCTTGAAATCCTTACCCTCTGTGACTTTCTGCCCCTGCGCCCCAGGGAGCGCGGGGGCTTCTTTAGCCCAGAACCGGGTGAGCCAGACAGCCCCTGGACAGGCTCAGGGGGCACCACGCCCTCTACTCCCACCACCCCTACCACCGAGGGCGAGGGCGACGGGCTGTCCTATAACCAGCGGAGTCTACAGCGTTGGGAAAAAGATGAGGAACTGGGCCAGCTCTCCACTATTTCACCTGTACTCTATGCCAACATTAACTTTCCTAATCTCAAGCAAGATTACCCAGGTACCTCTGGGTGAGGGATAGGGGTACAGCCTGGCAGGTGGAGGGGTCATCTGCCAAGCCTCCTCTGATTAATCTTTTTGCTCTTCAGACTGGTCTAGCCGATGTAAACAAATCATGAAGCTTTGGAGAAAGGTTCCAGCTGCTGATAAAGCCCCCTACCTGGTAAGAGTCTGTGGGCCAGCTTGAGACCTGACGTAGAAGCATCTCTAGGGTTTCTTCTCAGTCCCTTTCTGTCCTTTTATCCATCTTCTCCTGTCTCTTGCCATCCCAAAGCAGCTGGGTCGGGAAGGACTGATTTCTGGGGAGGCAATGTGGCAAGATTGTGGGCTGGGTTTGAGGCTAAGCACGAAGCCCTATGTTTTGTGCTTGTCCCTCAGCAAAAGGCCAAAGATAACCGGGCTGCTCACCGCATCAACAAGGTGCAAAAGGTGAGTGGATGGCTTTGCTAGAATTGGGGGCCCTGGATTAGTCACTCCTACAGCAAACAGTCTGACTGTTTTGCTTGGTCTCTCTGTAGCAGGCTGAGAGCCAGATCAACAAGCAGGCCAAGGTGGGCGACATAGCCCGTAAGACTGATCGACCAGCCCTCCATCTCCGTATTCCCTCCCAGCCAGGGGCACTGGGAAGTCCGCCCCCTGCTGCGGCCCCCACTATTTTCATTGGCAGTCCCACCACCCCTGCTGGCTTGTCTACCTCTGCGGACGGGTTCCTGAAGCCACCAGCGGGCACAGTGCCCGGCCCTGACTCACCTGGTGAGCTCTTCCTCAAGCTCCCGCCCCAGGTGCCCGCCCAAGTGCCTTCGCAGGACCCCTTTGGACTGGCCCCTGCCTATGCCCCGGAGCCACGCTTCCCTGCAGCACCACCCACCTATCCTCCTTACCCAAGCCCCTCTGGAGCCCCTGCCCAGCCCCCAATATTGGGCACCACAACTCGACCTGGGACTGGCCAGCCAGGGGAATTCCACACTACCCCACCGGGTACCCCAAGACACCAGCCTTCCACACCTGACCCCTTCCTCAAACCTCGCTGCCCCTCATTGGACAACCTGGCAGTGCCTGAGAGCCCAGGGGTCGCGGGAGGCAAGGCTTCTGAGCCTCTGCTCTCACCCCCACCTTTTGGGGAGTCCCGGAAGACCCTAGAGGTGAAGAAGGAAGAGCTTGGGGCATCCTCTCCTGGCTATGGTCCCCCAAACCTGGGCTGTGTTGACTCACCCTCCTCAGGCCCCCACCTGGGTGGCCTGGAGTTAAAGGCACCTGATGTCTTCAAAGCCCCCCTAACCCCTCGGGCATCTCAGGTAGAGCCCCAGAGCCCGGGCCTGGGCCTACGGGCCCAGGAGCCACCCCCAGCCCAGGCTTTGGCCCCTTCTCCTCCCAGCCACCCTGATGTCTTTCGTTCTGCCTCCTACCCTGACCCCTATGCCCAGCCCCCGTTGACTCCTCGACCCCAGCCCCCACCCCCTGAGAGCTGCTGTGCCCTGCCTCCTCGATCACTGCCCTCTGATCCTTTCTCCAGAGTGCCCGCTAGTCCTCAATCTCAGTCCAGTTCCCAGTCCCCATTGACCCCACGTCCTCTGTCTGCTGAGGCTTTCTGCCCATCCCCTGTTACCCCTCGCTTCCAATCCCCTGACCCTTATTCTCGTCCACCCTCACGCCCTCAGTCCCGTGACCCCTTTGCCCCGCTGCATAAGCCACCCCGACCCCAGCCCCCTGAAGTTGCCTTTAAGGCTGGGCCCCTAGCCCACACTCCCCTGGGAGCTGGGGGCTTCCCAGCAGCCCTGCCCTCTGGCCCAGCAGGTGAGCTCCATGCCAAGGTCCCAAGTGGGCAACCCCCCAATTTTGCCCGTTCTCCTGGGACAGGCACATTTGTGGGCACCCCCTCTCCCATGCGGTTCACTTTCCCACAGGGGGTAGGGGAGTCTTCCCTAAAGCCTCCTGTCCCTCAGCCTGGTCTCCCTCCACCCCATGGGATCAACAGCCATTTTGGGCCTGGCCCCACCTTGGGCAAGCCTCAAAGCACAAACTTTGCAGTAGCCACGGGGAACTTTCACCCATCAGGCAGCCCCCTGGGGCCCAACAGTGGGCCCACAGGGGAGGGCTATGGGCTGTCCCCACTACGCCCCGCGTCAGTTCTGCCACCTCCCACACCCGAGGGACCCCTCCCCTACTTGTCCCATGGAGCCTCACAAAGGGCAGGCATCACCTCTCCAGTGGAAAAGCGAGAAGACGCAGGGGCTACAATGAGTAGTAGCTCTTTGGCAACACCTGAACTCTCAAGTGCCCAGGATGCAGGCATGTCTAGCCTCAGCCAGACAGAGCTGGAGAAACAGCGGCAGGTGAGTGGATGTCCCGTAAGTGGTTCCACCATGCCTCTCCTCCAGCCCCACAATTAGAATGTCTTTTGTTTTGTTTGGTTTTTCGAGACAAGGTTTCTCTGTATTGCCTTGGAGCCTGTCCTGGAACTCGATCTGTAGACCAGGCTGGCCTGGAACTCACAGAGATCCATCTGCCTGTGCCTCCTGAGTGAGGTCTGCACCACCAAAGTCCAACTGCATGATTAGAATGGAATGGGCTTACTTTTCTGTTTTCTGGACAGCGCCAGAGACTCCGGGAACTGCTGATTCGGCAGCAGATTCAGCGTAATAACTTGAGGCAGGAGAAGGAAACAGCTGCAGCAGCTGCAGGTGCAGTGGGGCCTCCAGGCAACTGGGGCGCTGAGCCCAGCAGCCCTGCCTTTGAACAGCTGAGTAGAGGCCAGACCCCTTTCACTGGGTCCCAGGTAGGTAGGTTAGCCAGGGGTGGTGGGGCCAGAGTACTGAAGGTGGCTACACCTTCATCTACTTCTGTTGTCTAGGATAAGAGCAGTATTGTGGGGTTACCTTCAAGCAAGCTAGGTGGTCCCGTCTTGGGACCAGGAGCCTTCTCCAGTGATGACCGACTCTCCAGGCCACTTCCACCAGCCACACCTTCTTCTATGGATGTGAACAGCAGGTAAGATTCCAGGAGGTAGGGTGTGTTTGTGTGTGTGTGTGTGTGTGTGTGTGTGTGTGTGTGTGTATGTATGTATGTATGTATGTATGTTTGTATGTATGTGTAAGAGAAAGGGAGGGAGAAAGAGAGGGACGGATGGATGGATGGAGACAGAGAGACAGGATATGGGATAGATTTTGTCATTACTGTTCTGCCTCTGGTCTTTCCCTGACATTAGCCCTTCTCTGTTGTTACTCTTCCTCATTCTTTCCCTCACGATTTCTTCCATCTTCTGTCACTATCCTACGTCTCTCTTCTGTCCTCTGTATTAATTGCTTCTCACTGACGACTGAATTTTTTTCCAGGCAACTTGTTGGAGGCTCCCAGACCTTCTATCAGCGTACACCCTATCCTGGGTCCCTACCCCTGCAGCAGCAGCAGCAGCAGCAGCAGCAACAACAACAACTTTGGCAGCAGCAACAGCAGGCAACAGTAGCGACCTCCATGCGACTTGCAATGTCTGCTCGATTTCCATCAACTCCTGGACCTGAACTTGGCCGCCAAGCACTAGGTTCCCCCTTAGCAGGAATCCCCACCCGCCTTCCAGGACCTGCTGAGCCAGTGCCTGGTCCAGCTGGTCCTGCTCAGTTCATTGAGCTGCGACACAATGTACAGAAAGGACTTGGACCTGGGGGGTCTCCGTTTCCTGGTCAGGGTCCCCCTCAGAGGCCCCGTTTTTACCCTGTAAGCGAGGAACCCCATCGACTGGCTCCTGAAGGTCTTCGGGGCATGGCTATTTCAGGCCTTACCCCACAAAAACCCTCAGCCCCACCAGCCCCTGAATTGAACAACAGCCTCCATCAGACACCCCATACCAAGGGTCCTGCCCTACCAACTGGCTTGGAGCTGGTCAGCCGCCCACCATCAAGCACTGAACTTGTTCGTCCCGCTCTGGCCTTGGAAGCTGGGAAGTTGCCTTGTGAGGATCCTGAGTTGGACGATGACTTTGATGCCCACAAGGCCCTAGAGGATGATGAAGAGCTTGCTCACTTGGGTCTGGGTGTGGATGTGGCCAAGGGTGATGATGAACTGGGTACCCTAGAAAACCTGGAGACTAATGACCCCCACTTAGATGACCTCCTTAATGGAGATGAATTTGACCTACTAGCTTATACTGACCCTGAGCTAGATACTGGGGACAAGAAGGACATCTTTAATGAGCACCTAAGGCTGGTGGAGTCAGCAAATGAGAAGGCTGAGCGAGAAGCTCTGCTGCACGGGGTGGAGCCAGTATCCTTGGGCCCTGAGGAACGCCCTCCCCCTGCCACAGACAACTCTGAGCCTCGCCTAGCATCTGTGCTCCCTGAGGTGAAGCCCAAAGTGGAGGAGGGAAGGCGCCATCCTTCTCCTTGCCAGTTCACCATTAATACCCCCAAGGTGGAGCCGGCACCTCCTGCCACTCCCCTCAGCCTAGGACTGAAGCCAGGTCAGACTGTGATGGGCAGCCGAGACACTCGAGTAGGTACAGGATCATTCCCCAGCGGTGGGCACACAACTGAGAAGGGCCCATTTGGGGCCACAGGAGGAACACCAGCTCACTTGCTGAACCCCAGCTCACTGAGTGGCCCGGGTGGATCCTCCCTTCTGGAGAAATTTGAACTAGAGAGTGGGGCTCTAACCTTGCCCAGTGGACATGCAGCATCTGGGGATGAGCTGGACAAAATGGAGAGCTCCCTGGTAGCCAGCGAGTTGCCTCTGCTTATTGAAGACCTGTTAGAGCATGAGAAGAAGGAGCTGCAGAAGAAACAGCAACTTTCAGCACAGCTGCAGCCTGCCCAGCAGCAGCAACAGCAGCAGCAACATTCCCTCCTTCCTACACCAGGCCCTGCACAGACCCTGCCTTTGCCACATGAGGCTGGGCCCCCACAGCAGCTTGCTCTGGGTCTTGGAAGTACTCGACAGCCAGGTTTGGGCCAGTCACTGATGCCCAGCCAGTCACCAGCTCATGCCCTTCAACAGCGCCTGGCCCCATCTGTGGCTATGGTGTCTAACCAAGGTCATATGCTAAGTGGGCAGCAACCAGGGCAGACAGGCTTGGTGCCCCAACAGAGCTCACAGCCAGTGTTAGCACAGAAACCCATGAATGCCATGCCACCTTCCATGTGCATGAAGCCCCAGCAGCTGGCAATGCAGCAACAACAGCTGGCTAACAGCTTCTTCCCAGATACAGGTAACTGTATGTGTGCATAGTTAGTGTAATTTCTGGTTATCACTGAGTGGTCACTAAGTCTGGTACTCTAAGAAACACCTTAGTCATGGGAAATGGGATACCAGGGGCTTCAGCTAAACCCCAAAGTACTCTATGTAGAAGTGGTGAGCCCTTGGAGCAAAGGCTCTATGTCCTTGGTTAAGATTAAATTTAGTCCTCAGAGAAAAAACTCTAAGGACAAGCAAACCAGGTAAGTGAAAGATGAAATGAAGCTATAGGGCAGGGAAGCCTGTGGAGAGCAGAGGAGCATGGGCTCTGCTGTTAATTTGGAGAGGGAGGTAGCAGGGCCATACTGAGGAACACCTCACACTGACTGCACTTATTGAATAGTACTGTATTTGCCATTACAGATTCATTAAATGGGTACTTTGATTACAAAAGATGACTTAACTTACAAAAGTTAAGTAACGTGTCTAAGATTATACAACAAGCAGAGCTAGATGTGTACTTAACAGTTTTAGAAAGCCCTTTACAAAGTTGAGAATCAGTTTTCACACTCCCTAGTAGCCGAAAGTCAGAGGCAGGATCTCTGAGAGTTTAAGGCCAGCCTACTCTACCTAACTGAGTTCCAGGATGGCCAGGACTACTTAGAGCCTCTCTCAAACAAACAAATTAATTAATTAAAATAAAGCAAGCACCCCAAAAACAAAAAAGGACTTTAGGAAGGTTGAGATTGTTTGGTGGTTATTTCTGTATGGTTTATTTTTTTTATTTGTTTTTGAGTGGGGAGCTAGGAATAAGATAGGAGATGACCTATCGCAGGCTAACCTCAAACTCTCTGTTTAACTGAGGATAAAGATGGCTTTAAATTTAGGATTCTTCTGTCTCCATCTGTCAAGTGCTGGAATTACAAGCACATGCAACCATACCTGTTTTATTCTCGTTTGTTTTATTTGTTTTTGAGGCAGAGTCACTACATAGCCCAGGCTGGACTTAAATCCAAAATCTTTGTGTCATTGCCTTTTGAGTGCTGGGATTACAGTTGTACACCACTGTGCCATACTAGTTATTTTTTATTTTTTATTTTTTTATTTTTTAATCTCAGTCCTAGATTGGCAGGACAGGGGGTTATTGGGTGATGTTTTTATGTAACAGCTCTGTTGTCAAGGGGCTTTGCCACGGTGCCTGTATCTTGGCTTCTTGAGCCATGTTGGTTGTAGAATACTACTATGAAGAGTACTATCTGGCTAACATTGCATGCTTCTATTCTTGTCACATGATCTATAGCTCCATGAGGTAGGCAAAGTCGCAATCATGGTCTCTCTTCAAAAGAGGGAAACTGAGGCTTAAAATGATACAGTGACTCAGTAAATGACTCCCTTAAGCAATGTGCAAACAAGAGGACTGTGTGTTCCACGAACATTAGTGCTGTAGCACCAGTTTGCATGGCTCCTGCTTAACTGAGTGGACTTGCCACATCACTGTTGTACATGTAGAGAAGAGAGTGTTGGCAAAACAGCCATCGAGCCCTGGAGCCTTGACCCCCAAACCCAGCTTATTTATCTCTTCTCTTTTTAGATCTGGACAAATTTGCTGCAGAAGATATCATTGATCCTATTGCAAAGGCCAAGATGGTCGCTTTGAAAGGCATCAAGAAAGTGATGGCTCAGGGCAGCATTGGAGTGGCACCTGGTATGAACAGGTAAGACTCAGGCTGGTGTGGGCTGACTTCCTATCACAGTTTTCCTGGTTTCCCTCCCAGTTTGTCTCATTGGTTTGTGTTTCAACTGTGCCTTCCCTGACATCATAATCCCCTGTGCTTTATGGACTGCAGGCAGCAAGTCTCACTGTTGGCTCAGAGGCTCTCTGGGGGCTCTGGCAATGATCTGCAGAACCATGTGGTGCCTGGGAGTGGCCAGGTAAGGGGGAAATAGGAAAATTTGTGTACTATTATTTCACTGGGCTACCTTTCTTAGGGCCTGGCATGGAACAGTGACCTTGTAGAAATCTCTCTTACCACAGGAGCGGAATGCTAGTGACCCTTCCCAGCCACGTCCCAATCCACCTACTTTTGCCCAGGGAGTGATCAGTGAGTATGGGCAGAGAAGGAGGGTGCAAAGAAATGTTTAGGAGTCTGGAAGGGGGTTGCCATTTTGCGGATCCTAACATACAAGTTCTGTACCTAGATGAGGCTGACCAGCGACAGTATGAAGAATGGCTGTTCCATACCCAGCAGCTCCTACAGATGCAGCTGAAGGTGCTAGAGGAGCAGATTGGTGTGCACCGCAAGTCCCGGAAGGCTCTGTGTGCCAAGCAGCGCACTGCCAAAAAGGCTGGCCGTGAGTTTCCGGAAGCTGATGCTGAGAAGCTCAAGCTGGTTACAGAACAGCAAAGCAAGATCCAGAAACAGCTGGATCAGGTGGGGAAAGCAAAGTTCAGCCAAGTACCCAAAAACCAGGGATAAGGGGTGGCAGGTGTGGGCAGCCTCAGACTGACTTCCCCAACACTCCAATGTTAGGTCCGGAAACAGCAGAAGGAGCACACAAATCTCATGGCAGAATATCGAAACAAGCAACAGCAGCAGCAGCAGCAGCAGCAGCAGCAGCAGCAGCAGCAGCACTCAGCTGTATTGGCTCTTAGCCCTTCTCAGAGTTCTCGGGTACTTACCAAGCTCCCTGGCCAGTTGCTCCCTGGCCATGGATTACAGCCACCACAGGCACCTCCAGGTGGGCAAGCTGGAGGTCTTCGTCTGCCTCCGGGAGGTATGGTACTACCCGGACAGCCTGGTGGTCCATTCCTCAATACTGCCTTGGCCCAGCAGCAGCAACAGCAGCATCCTGGTGTGGCTGGATCCTTGACTGGCCCTTCAGGGAACTTCTTCCCTGGAAATCTTGCACTCCGAAGCCTTGGACCTGACTCAAGGCTTTTACAGGAAAGGCAACTACAGCTGCAGCAGCAACGAATGCAGCTGGCCCAGAAATTACAGCAGCAGCAGCAGCAGCAGCAGCAGCAGCAGCAGCAACAACAACAGCAACAACAGCAACACCTCTTAGGGCAGGTCGCAGTCCAACAGCAACAGGGTCCTGGAGTACAGAACCAGGCTCTGGGTCCCAAGCCTCAGGGCCTTATGCCTCCCAGCAACCACCAGGGCCTCCTGGTTCAACAGTTGTCCCCTCAGCAATCACAGGGGTCCCAGGGCATGCTGGGTCCTGCCCAGGTCACTGTGCTGCAACAGCAGCAGCAACAGCAACAGCAGCAGCACTCTGGAGCTTTGGGTCCTCAGGGCCCTCACAGACAGGTGCTTATGACTCAGTCCAGGGTGCTGAGTTCCCCTCAGCTGGCACAGCAGGGTCACAGCCTTATGGGACACCGACTTCTCACAGCCCAGCAGCAACAGCAGCAGCACCAACAACAGGGGTCTATGACAGGGCTTTCCCATCTTCAGCAAGGAATGATGTCACATGGTGTGCAGCCCAAAATGAGTGCTCAGGCATTGGGCTCCTTACAGCAGCAACAGCAGCACCAACAGCTGCAGCAGCAACAGCTGCACCTTCAGCAGCAGCTGCACCAGCAACAACAGCAACATCTTCAGCAGCAGCATCTTCAGCAGCAGCAGCAACATCTTCAGCAGCAGCAGCAGCAGCAGCAACAACAACAGCAGCAGATGGGCCTCTTGAATCAGAATCGAACTTTACTATCTCCTCAGCAGCAGCAGCAGCAGCAGCAGCAGCAGCAGGTGACACTTGGCCCTGGCATGCCAGCCAAGCCTCTTCAACACTTTTCTAGCCCCGGAGCCCTGGGCCCAACCCTGCTCCTGACAGGCAAGGAACAAAGCATTACAGAGGCATCACTTCCTTCAGAAGTCACGGAGGGACCCTCAACACATCAAGGAGGGCCATTGGCAGTGGGGACTACACCTGAGTCAATGTCTGTTGAGCCAGGGGAGGTAAAGCCCTCCGTTTCCGGAGACTCACAACTGCTACTTGTCCAGTCCCAGGCCCAGTCTCAGCCCACCCCAGTGCAGCTGCAGCCACCACTAAGGCTCCCAGGACAACCCCAACAACAGCAAGTGAACTTGCTCCACACAACAGGTGGAGGAAACCATGGGCAGCAACTAGGGAGTGGATCCTCTTCTGAGGTCCCATCTGTACCCCACCTGCTGACCCAGCCCTCTGTTTCCTTAGGGGAACAGCCTGGGCCTATGGCCCAGAACCTTCTGGGCTCCCAACAGCCCATTGGGCTAGATCGGCCCATTCAAAATAACACAGGGCCACAGCCTCCTAAATCAGGACCTGTTCCTCAGTCTGGGCAGGGTCTTCCTGGGGTTGGAGTGATGCCTACAGTTGGTCAACTTCGAGCACAGCTCCAAGGAGTCCTGGCCAAAAACCCACAGCTGCGGCACTTGAGCCCTCAGCAACAGCAGCAGCTACAGGCACTCCTCATGCAGCGACAGCTGCAGCAGAGTCAGGCAGTGCGCCAGACTCTGCCGATCCAGGAGGCTGGGACCCAGCCCTCCCCCCTCCAGGGCCTCCTGAGCTGCCAACCTCAATCTGGGGGTTTTTCTGGATCTCAGACTGGACCTCTCCAGGAGCTAGGGGCAGGGCCTAGACCGCAGGGCCCACCCCGACTCCCTGTCCCACAAGGAGCCTTATCTACAGGACCAGTGCTTGGCCCTGTCCATCCCACACCTCCACCATCCAGTCCCCAAGAGCCAAAGAGACCTTCACAATTACCTTCCCCCAGTGCCCAGCTAACCCCCACCCACCCTGGGACTCCAAAGCCCCAGGGGCCAACCTTGGAGCTGCCTCCTGGGAGGGTTTCACCTGCTGCTGCCCAGCTTGCAGATACGTTCTTTGGCAAGGGGCTGGGACCTTGGGACCCCTCAGACAACCTAACTGAAGCCCAGAAGCCAGAGCAGAGCAGCCTGGTATCTGGGCATCTGGAGCAGGTGAATGGACAGGTGGTACAAGAGCCATCCCAGCTCAGCATCAAACAGGAGCCTCGGGAAGAGTCGTGTGCCCTGGGTGCACAGGCAGTAAAAAGAGAGGCTGATGGGGAGCCAGGAGGTACACCAGGCACCAGCAATCACCTTCTGCTAGCAGGCTCCCGCTCAGAGGCTGGGCATCTGCTCTTGCAGAAGCTTCTGCGGGCAAAGAATGTGCAGCTTGGTGCTGGGCGGGGCCCTGAGGGACCTCGAGCTGAGATCAATGGACACATTGACAGCAAGTTGTCAGGGCTGGAGCAGAAACTACAGGGTACTTCCAGCAGCAAAGAGGTGAGTACTTTGGCTGGCATGATGTGACAGTGAAACCTATAATTATAGAGGTCAGATGAGTAGGACTAGGTCAGACTAGGTGAGGGCAGCACCCTTCACAGGGCTTCTCTGGTTTAGGATGCAGCCACAAGAAAGCCTTTGTCAGCGAAGCCTAAGCGGGTACAGAAGACAAGCGACAGATTGGTGAGCTCCCGAAAGAAGCTGCGGAAAGAAGATGGGGTCAGGGCCAATGAGGCCTTACTCAAACAGCTAAAACAGGTGATCCCCAAGGAGCCAGTGCTATTGACCCATCTCAGAATGGGGGATGGGAAGTCCATCCCCTGAGCTCTGAAGAGTTAGCTGTGAATGCTGCAGCTTTCCAGCTTTGTCATTTTGCCCCTCCTAGGAACTGTCCCAGCTGCCCCTGACGGAGCCTACCATCACCGCCAATTTTAGCCTCTTTGCTCCCTTTGGCAGTGGCTGCCTAGTCAGTGGGCAGAGCCAGCTCAGGGGGGCTTTTGGAAGTGGGGCTCTACACGCCGGCCTTGACTACTATTCTCAGCTGCTCACCAAGGTCAGAAAAATGGCAATACCTTTTGGGAATAATAAAGTTCTTGGGGTTGGAGGTAGGGATGAAAGACTGGAGGAAAATGCTGATGTAATGTGGGACCAGGAGATTATACCAGTCTCCCTATGCCACCTTGCACACAACACCCACCCCACCCCCCCAGAATAACCTGAGTAACCCGCCGACACCACCCTCGTCGCTGCCCCCCACCCCACCCCCATCGGTGCAGCAGAAGATGGTGAATGGTGTTACGCCCTCTGACGAGCTGGGGGAGCACCCCAAGGACGCAGCCTCTGCCCAGGACACTGAGGGAACATTGAGGGGTAAGTGAGAAGCTGTCCTCCCTTTCCCATGGGGATTTGGTGGAAGAGTGCCAGGCATGAGTGGTACCCTGCCACTCAGTTTCAGAAATGAAAGGGTTGCATGCTGCCTTGTGCATTTGGTGGGAATGGCACATTTGTGGTTGTTTGGTTCAGGACAATGATGGGCTTCTAGAGTCTGGTGCAAAGGCAGTTGGGGAAGTAGGTAACAGGGTGGGTGTGAGAGAAGTTTTGTGAGAAAAATCAGTCCAGCATTCATGGATATAAAGCCACAGCCTAACCTGTGTTTGAACTCCAGCACATGAGTGTGTTTAGCTGTGTTACTTGACCAAGTAGCTTGACTTGTGTGAGCCTTGATTTCCTCTGTATAAACTAGATCTGTAAAATTCATGTGACAGTTGTTGTTTCAAGATGTAAATAGGGTGTTATGGTGACTTATGGCAGAGCTTCACCTTGATTTTCCTCCCTCCTTACCCCTCAGATGCTGCAGAGGTGAAGAGTTTAGACCTGCTGGCTGCTCTGCCTACACCCCCTCATAATCAGACTGAGGATGTCAGGTGGGGAATTGGGTGCAGGACAGACGGCCTGGTATTTCCTTAGCTGGGGGCAGGTTTCAGTTACTGCTACACCTCCTGGTGACTGCCTTTGAGAGGGGGACTCCATGGGTCTGTACCAACACCTGTTTGCATTTGCCTTCAGGATGGAGAGCGATGAGGACAGTGATTCTCCTGATAGTATCGTGCCGGCTTCATCCCCCGAGAGCATCCTTGGGGAAGAGGCCCCACGTTTCCCACAGCTGGTCTCTGGACGGTGGGAGCAGGACACTCGGGCCCTCTCCCCTGTCATCCCCATCATCCCCCGTGCCAGCATCCCTGGTATGTGCTAACTATGGCATGGGCAGGCCCAGTATGGCTGGGTTGTCAGATGTGAGGGGCTAGGGCTGTACTGGAGAGTGACTGAAGCTACAGGAGTTCCTCTCTTTTTCAAAATCCAGTTTTCCCAGATACAAAACCTTATGGGGCACTTGACCTGGAAGTCCCTGGAAAGCTACCTGCTGCAGCTTGGGAAAAAGGCAAAGGAAGTGAGGTGTCAGTCATGCTGACGGTCTCTGCTGCCGCCGCCAAGGTTTGTCTTAGGGGGACCTGGAAGCCAAGGAGAACTTGGATCAGAGAGCACTCTTCAGCAGCTCTAGTCTGGATTAGAAAGGGGGAAAAAAAAAAAAAATCAGCTGTCCAACTGTTTGTCCTGAGTACCTGCTTTGTTTGAAAGACTGGTCTATGGATGGTCTGTGGGCTGAGCAAGGGAAGTAGGGTCTCATAAGGCTCATCATCCATGGATAAAGGCAATCAACCAATAGACTATCCAGTGCCAAATGGTACAAGACCACTCTCTCCTCCATTTACATTTGATGGACCCCTGCTGCAGAGTTCTATGGTCAAAGAAAGTTGGAAAACAGTTAAAACAGTAATATAAGATTCTTTGCAATCGTCTGCAATGTCACTCCCTCTGTGGAACTCCTGTGTGTACCTGTCATGGTCTAGGAAAGGTTGTGTGATCACCCTTGTGCCATGGGTTTGTGTCCTTGCCTTCCCCTAGCAGGGCTCACTGAGGATGCTGCTGTTTTCTCCCATCCTTTCTTCTGCCCCACCAGAATCTGAATGGTGTGATGGTAGCAGTGGCAGAGTTACTAAGCATGAAGATACCCAACTCCTACGAGGTGCTGTTCCCAGACAGCCCTGCCCGGGCAGGCCTTGAGCCCAAGAAGGTGGAAGCTGAGGGTCCTGGTGAGTAGAGCAGGAGACCACTTTCAGATCAGAGAAGAGTTCTGGTGGAAGACTGACACTTTCCTTTCTATAGGTGGGAAAGAAAAAGGTTTGAGTGGCAAGGGCCTGGACACTGGACCTGATTGGCTAAGGCAGTTTGATGCAGTGTTGCCTGGCTACACCCTCAAGAGCCAGTTAGACATCTTGAGCCTCCTGAAACAGGTAGGTCTGGAGGAAGAAGGGTCAGTTTTAGGAAGAAGGTTTTCCCAGGGCAGAGAAGACAATGGCTTTTGAGGGAGTGGAGTCTGGTCGAGAGGAAGGAGAGGCTGGTCAGCTGAAGAACTGGCACTAACACCCAGGGTGTCTTCCTGTAGGAGAGTTCTGCCCCAGAACCATCCTCCCAGCACAGCTACACTTACAACGTCTCCAACTTGGATGTGAGGCAGCTCTCCGCCCCACCTCCTGAGGAACCTTCCCCACCTCCATCCCCCTTGGCACCCTCTCCTGCCAGCCCCCCTGCTGAACCCCTGGTTGAACTTCAGGCTGAACCCCCAACTGAACCACCAATCCCTTCACCTCTACCACTGGCTTCATCCCCTGAATCTGCCCGGCCCAAACCCCGAGCCCGGCCCCCGGAAGAGAGTGAAGATTCCCGTCCCCCACGCCTCAAAAAGTGGAAAGGGGTACGCTGGAAGCGGCTGCGACTACTGCTGACTATCCAGAAGGGCAGTGGACGACAAGAGGGTGAGCGGGAGGTGGCAGAGTTTATGGAGCAGCTTGGTACAGCCTTGAGACCAAACAAGGTGCCTCGAGACATGCGACGATGCTGCTTCTGTCACGAAGAGGGAGATGGTGCCACTGATGGGCCTGCCCGCCTACTCAATCTTGACTTGGACCTCTGGGTACACCTCAACTGTGCACTGTGGTCCACGGAGGTGTATGAAACCCAGGGTGGGGCATTGATGAATGTGGAGGTTGCCCTGCACCGAGGATTGCTAACCAAGTGCTCCCTGTGCCAGCGAACTGGTGCCACTAGCAGCTGCAATCGCATGCGTTGCCCCAATGTCTACCATTTTGCCTGTGCCATCCGTGCTAAGTGCATGTTCTTTAAGGACAAGACTATGCTGTGTCCAATGCACAAGATCAAGGGGCCCTGTGAGCAGGAACTGAGCTCCTTTGCTGTCTTCCGGAGGGTCTACATTGAACGGGACGAGGTGAAGCAGATCGCCAGCATCATCCAGCGGGGGGAGCGGCTACATATGTTCCGAGTAGGGGGTCTTGTGTTCCATGCCATTGGACAGCTGCTCCCACACCAGATGGCTGACTTCCACAGTGCCACTGCCCTCTATCCTGTGGGCTACGAGGCCACGCGCATCTATTGGAGCCTTCGCACCAACAATCGCCGCTGCTGCTATCGCTGCTCCATCAGTGAGAATAATGGGCGGCCTGAGTTTGTGATCAAAGTCATTGAGCAGGGTTTAGAGGACCTGGTCTTCACTGATGCCTCTCCCCAAGGTAAGCACTCCTAGGATTGGGAAAGTTTTTCTCAGGAGTCATTTTCTAGAGCCATGAAGCTGTAGTGTCCTGCCCTTACCTCAAGTGGCACGGTGTCCTGAAAACCCAGACACTTGAAATACCTTTGCAGTTGAAAATATTTTCTTAGTCAAACAATGGTGCCTCACCCCTGTAATAACAATACTTGAAGATTAAGGCAGGAAGATCTGAGTTCAGGGTCACATCCTTATAGTGATCTGGAAGCCAACCTGGGCCATAGGAAACCTCTTCTTGAGAGAAAGAAAAAAAAAATTTCCATGTTTAACTTTTTTTCTTTAATCTTGGTAGATTAAATGATGAAGGGTTTGTTTGTAGTTTGGTTTTTTGTTTGTTTTGGAGATAGGGTTTTTTTGTATAGCCTGGCTATCTTGAAACTTGCTCAGTAGACCAGGCTGGCCTCGCTCAGAGGTCCGACTGTCTCTGCCTTCCAAGTGCTGGGATGAGATTAAAGGCGTGTGCCACTACCACTAAGTTGAATGGTGATGCTTTGAGATCCTGTTCTCTATTATACATAGTTCTAAATTCCCTTTTTCCATATGTAAAATCCTTTTTGGAGTCTTGTTTGTTGTGTTACTGGGGATGGAACCCAGGACTCTGGACATGCTAGGCAAACTTAACACCATTGAGCTTTAGCCCTACCCTTAAAAAGTCTTTTTTTGTTTTTGTTTTGTTTTTAAATTTGAATTTTTGTGTGTATGGGTATTTTGCATGCATGTATGTCTGTGTTTGTCATGCATTCAGTGCCCATGGAGGCAAGAAGAGAGTGTGTTGGATTCTCTGAGACTAGAGATAAAAAGGGTTGTGAATAAGTTTATGGGTGTTGGGAACTGAACCTGGTTCCTTTGGAAAAGCAACAATTGATCCTAACTGCTGAGGTCATTCCTTTTTCTTTGTTTCTGTGTTGATGATAAATAAAGCAGCAGAAAGTATGTTTTATTGAGCATGTACTACGAGTCACGGTTTAATTAATAGGGTGACCATATAGGTTGTTTTGTCCCTGCGACCCTAGAAAATGAGCACTGTTGTGATTATGCCATCTAGACATAACAGTGACCAAGTGTTGTGAGGAGATTTGAGTATTTGGCTTAAGTCCCATAGCCATTGCTCAAACTTGAACATAGTCTTCCCAACTCCAAAGCATGTATGCCCAATCAGTAGCAACTGTGGCTTCTGGCTGGGTCTTTGGGGCCTGTGTTTGTCATGGAGGCTTCTGGGACTAGGAGATCAGGAGTAGGTCCTGAAGAATCACAGGGCAGTGACAGTCATGGTAGAAAGTAAGCAGATGTTGTTATGCTGTCTGTCTCCCCCCTTAGCTGTGTGGAATCGCATCATTGAACCTGTGGCTGCCATGAGAAAAGAAGCTGACATGCTGAGGCTCTTCCCTGAGTACCTGAAAGGCGAAGAGCTCTTTGGGCTGACAGTGCATGCTGTGCTCCGTATAGCTGAATCGGTAAGCCAGTGTCCAGGAGCTGGGGCGAGGTGGGCACTGGGAAATCTGGTTCTGCCTCAAAGGGACTAAGGCAGGCTCCCTGTGCCCACAGCTCCCTGGGGTGGAGAGCTGTCAGAACTATTTATTTCGCTATGGGCGCCACCCTCTGATGGAACTGCCACTCATGATCAACCCCACCGGCTGTGCCAGATCAGAACCTAAAATCCTCACACACTACAAACGGTGAGCTTGTGCGGCTGGGGCCGTGGACTGTGGGTTTGGGCAGGGCCACCTGGCCTCATTGTGGGAGTTTGAGGTGCAGATCAGAGTCTTTTCCAAGAACCTGGGGAGTCACCCATAGACCTGGATAGAGGTACACAATCGTCACTGGGGTATCCTGTTCCTCTTCCCTCATCAGCTCAGGTGTCCTGGGTTGACCAGGGATGCAGGACAGAGTGCCCTAGGTGCCCTGGGAACGGCTGCTGGGGAGGTTCTTTGTGATGAGAGATGTACGGGAGCTGGTCACTTCTTTCTTCTTTGGTCTTGCTTCCAGAGGGGCCGGTGATACTCCCAAACCTCAGACACCCCATGAGTGCTAGGGTCATCATCCCTTTCCAAAGCTGAGTTGGTTTATAAATAATTTAAAAAGTATTATAGAAAATAATACAACCTTACATTTGTATAGCACTTTATACTTTTTTTTTCAAAGCGTTTTCACATCCATTATCTCATTTGATCCTCACAACAACCTTATGAGGTAGGTAGGGCAGGTGGTATGATCCCTGTTTTATAGCTGAGAAAACTGAGGCCCAGAAAGACTGCGTGACTAGATAAAGGTCACACAGCTGGGACTAGAGCCTGCTCTTAACTTGTGGATTGCTGGTCTTTCTGTGTACCGCACTAGCCTAACCTTGGACTTTGGGTAGAGGGAGGCAGAATCCATGGTAGCAGGGCTTCCCATGAAGGCCTTTGGTGGCTTGAAGGCTGTCATAGAATGTTGAACACTCTACCCCTAGTTAGCCCTAGTCCTTGATGCTCTACAGCAGTGGTTTTCAAACTATAAGTACATATGTTCCCAAAACCCCAGAACACAGAATCGAGTGGGCAGACTTGCCCTTCTGTGTGTAACTTCACCACCTTCCTCAAATTGGATTTAGTCAGAATAATTCCAATTTCATCTATGGATTGGAGTTGCAATCAACATTTTGCTGAAGAAAAGAAATTCTGCTAAATAAAACAGAAAAATCACCCCAGGTGTTTGAAAACCACTGCTCTGGGCAAGACTCTGGCTGGTGCCCGAGGGTGGTGAAAGACTACCACCAGGCAGCAGCCATTCCCCTGCACTGAGCCATCTGCACAGAGCCCTGTGCCATGCTGCAGAGCAGGACGGTATGAAGGAAAGAAGGATACCATCAGGTTGTGAATTCATAGCCACTGCAGTTCAGGTGGCCCCCCCATTTTCAGGGTGTACAGCATATGCAGGAGGCAGGACTCAGATGGCTGAACAAACCATCAGCTTAAATTCTGGGCCTGGGCTGCTTGGGGAAGACCTCTAAGAGTATGGCCTGGAGCATGGTTTGGCAGGGGGGGTGGTAGGCAGTATGAAATGGGAGAGCAGGCTCAGTGTAGGGGAATTGGTGCCTCTTCCCTCTCTATACCTACTCCCTATTCTGGGTGGTCTCTGCTACCCAGGGTGTCCAGAAGGGTTTCAGGGTCTACTCACTGCCTCTTCCAAGCTGAGACCCAGGTGCTTCCGCTCCTTCCCAGGGCAGCAAGCACTTGGAGTACTTGCTGATTGATGGTATATACCCCAGGGAGGAAGGGGGCGATGTGTGCTTGGTCTGTCTTGTCATGGACTGTATCACCTCCCAGGCCCCATACCTTGAACAGCACCAGCATGTCTAAGGCATATCAGAGCACCTTCACAGGCGAGACCAACACCCCGTACAGCAAGCAGTTTGTGCACTCCAAGTCATCTCAGTACCGGCGCCTGCGCACTGAGTGGAAGAACAATGTTTATCTGGCTCGCTCCCGTATCCAGGGCCTAGGGCTCTATGCAGCCAAGGACCTAGAAAAGCACACGATGGTCATTGAGTACATTGGCACCATCATTCGCAACGAGGTGGCCAATCGTCGGGAGAAAATCTATGAGGAGCAGGTACTTGAGGATGGCTAAGGAATGGTGTGGTGGAGTCCACCCTCTTGTCAAGGAGCACGGGGCAGGTTTGAATCCAGGAGGTGGTTGAAAGATTGCAGGGAGGGAGAAGGCAGGAGGATTTGGTCATGTCAGAGAAGCCCATTGCCTGAGTTTGCTTCCTAAGATTTTTGTTCCTTTCACAACTTGGGCCTGTCTAGAATCGAGGCATCTACATGTTCCGGATAAACAATGAGCACGTGATTGATGCTACATTGACTGGAGGCCCTGCCAGGTGAGCGAGGAAGGTGTAAGTGTCTCTAGTGGGCACTTCTGGGTGTTGCCTGGTGTCACTGACACTGATTCTGTCCTGCTATCCAGGTACATTAACCACTCCTGTGCCCCGAACTGTGTAGCAGAAGTTGTGACATTTGACAAGGAGGACAAAATCATCATCATCTCCAGCCGGCGAATCCCCAAAGGAGAGGAGGTGAGAGGAAGCTTCCTGAGTAGGTGACAGAGAAACCCTCCTCTCCTGCCATTGCCTAGGAGTTGGATTCCGAGGCCACTGCCCTTGGGTAGCATCTCAACCCCTAGCATCTTCTTCACCATGGCTCTGTGTTTTTTCTTTCTAGCTGACCTATGACTATCAGTTTGATTTTGAGGACGATCAGCACAAGATCCCCTGTCACTGTGGAGCCTGGAACTGTCGGAAATGGATGAACTAAGAAGCTTTGAGGCTACCAGGCAGGGGAATCCCCCCACCCCCCCACCTCTTCCCTGAAAGGGATGAGGGGGAAGAGCGGTAGCAGCCAGAGCTAGGACCCAGGGCTGGGGCTGCCGGCTGACCGGAGCCCCTGGAGCAGGAGGCTGGGGCAGAGGGCCCTAGGCCAAGCCCACCCTGGGCACCAGGGACAACCTTCTTCCCTGCCACCGGCCCTTAGGCTGGCATCTCTGCCCCCAGCTCTAGGAGGGGACAGACAGAAGCAGCCACTGGGCATCTCAGGTTTGAGGGGGATATGGGCCGGGAACTACCCAGAAGTGTCTGGGAGGCAGCAGGGAGGGAGGAGGAGGATGTGTGGCCGGGCCTCGCAGCCCTGCTGCCTCCACCGACCTCTCTGGCCCAACTCAAGGCTGCAAAGAGACTTGACTAAAGCTTGACAATCCCAAAGGCCGGGTCCCACACCTGGCCCTGCCTGCCGGGTCCTGCCCCTACCCTCACCCCCATCCCCTTCCTTCCTCTCTATCTGTCTCTGTCTCCCTCTTTACCTCTGTGTCTCTGTCTCTCTATGGGTTGTGTTTCCTTGTTTTCCACTCTGACAAATGCAACGTGATGGGAAAGAGGCATCCAGATGCCCAGGAGGGCAAGCTGGGCAAGCCGGGCAAGGAGACCCCGCACCCACACCTACCTCATTTAAGTGTTGGATTTTTTGCTGTTTTGAAATGTGAGACCCTCTCCAAGCCCCCTACTGCCCCGACTCTCTCCCCCACCTCACTGCCCTCTTCTAGTGGGTGGAAGGGGGGTAGGAGGAGGAGAACAACAACAATAACAACAACAAAAATCCATCTTTGTTTTTAATTATGGGCATGGGATGGTGGTTGAGGCAAATGGTGATGAAGATTGGGGATGACTGGCCCCTAGTTGCTCTAGAACTTCCTTCTCCATCTGGACATGGAGGCGGGAGGGGTGTGCTAAACCTAGGACCAGGATCTCTCTCTCCTGTTTCCTCAGCCTCATCCTGAGCCCATTTGCCCTCCAGCCCCTGGATGGGGTGTGGGGGGTAGGGTGAGGGCTATCCCTGTGTGGCATGCCCATACCCAATGAGGCAGGGTGTGGCCCAGAGCTCTCGCTTTCCCTCAGTCACCAAACTGCTGCTGGTCTGGTGGGAATGGGTGGTGATGTGGGGGTGGGGAGCTTAGTGTCAGCGCGGGGAGGGTGGGGGGTATTTATCTATTTATACATGGGGTTGTACATAGTCTTGTGGGGCATGGGGGGGCCGGCTGGAGGTGAGAACCCTCCCCTCCCCCAACCCCCGGGGAGAGCAAATGTAAAACTACTAATTTTTGTGCTTTATATATTCTATATAAATATATCTATTTTCTTTTTACAAAACCAGTTTATAAATGGTAGGGGGGTGTGGGGCGGACACATGGAGCTCCCCTTGTGGGGGGGCCCCCTCCACTACCCAGCCTACCGCCCTTTCCTCACCCCCTTTCCCACCCCCTGGCTGTGACTGCTGTAAGGTGGGGGATAGAGAGAAACTGGGTGATCCTCACCCCAGTTGTATAGTTGACTATGTTATAACGCACAAAAGTGAGCTGGCCCCAGGGGGAGCCAGAGGGTGATGGGTGCCCTTGTTTTCCTGTCCCTTCCTCTTTCTGCCTAAGCTTGTGCTGCAGTTGACCCTCTTCCTGGGGTGGTGGTGGGGTTAGGGTATGTGAGGCCTCAGACCCTTCTCTGTAGGGAGCTGTGGGGGTGAAGATGAAGCTTATATGCAGTTCTCTCCTGGGGGCTGTGGGAAAAGGGCATTTTGTAATTAATATTTTCAAGAATCAGATACCTGGATTGTAGAGACGGCTTGATGGTGGCAAATGGGCAGGCCTGCTGGAGGGGGTAGCACGGTTGCTGTTGTGATTCTAAGTTTTAGTTTTGTTTTAAATTTGGGGGATTGTGGATTGATGGGGGTAGGGAGATTATTTTTTCCTGGCTTTCCCCCCCCCCCCTTTTTTTTTTTTTTTTTTTTTTTTTGGAAAGCTGCTTCCTAAACTGTTTCAAGCTGCAAATGTTTAAGAAAGTAACAACCCTCCCCTCCCCCCCACTCCCACAGAACCCATTGTACTTAGATCAGACAGTGGGAAGACTGGGCTTCTCTAGGCACTGGGTTGGGGGAGATTGTCTCCTGTGGGTCAGGCAATGGTTGGGGCTTGGGCCCAACTGGGAAAGGAGAAGGGGCAGACTTTGTGAGCATATGCTAGGTATCCGATAGTCCTGTAGAATTTAGTGAAGAGACCTTATACAGTTTTTAATTTTTATATAAACTATAACTCAGACCCATGCTACAAGGTTGGAATTTTGGTTGTTGGTTTTTTGTTTTGTTTTTTTTTAAGTACCCCGCCTGTATAATTGCATCAGAGTCCCACCCCCACCCACCCCCGTGTTTGTATTTTGGGTTGGTTTACACTTGCACATACTCAATTTTCAGTTTCCCCCTTTTACCTTCTACCCTCACCTCCAGGACCCTCCCCCTTTTTAAAAAATAAATCGCTGACAAGTGTGAATCCCGTGAAGAACTTTATTTTGTGTTGTGTGTATCCTGTACAGCAAGGTTGGTCCTTCGTAACAACAGATGAAATGGTTCCCTTTTTTAAAGCGCTCTCTCTTCCTCCACCCCCAGCGCCCCTGTCCTTGGCATGTTTTGTATCAGCGATCATTCTGAACTGTACATAATTTATGTTGCGAGAGGCAAAGGGCAAGTTTTGGATTTTGCTTCTTCAAAGTTTGTTTTTAAACGACAAATAAAAAAAAGAACATTTTAAATACAAGCGCTTCCGTCCCATGACCCTCGCCGGTAGCCAGACCTTAAGGTCCTAGAGGACCTGGGGGAGGGAGGGTTACCCAAGCCAGGCTCCGCCACTGCCGGAAGGGTGGATTCCCCGCCTTCCGCCCTGGGGCTGCGATGGCGTGCCGTAGGCGGAAGTGGTGTAGGCACCGGATGTGGGGCGGGGTCTGCTGCAAGGGCGCTTTCTAAGCTGAGGAACTGGCGGGCGATTGCAATGGAGTCGGTGAGTGGCGCAGGAGGGCGGCCGGGGGCGCTGTGGAGCCGGAGACCCCCCCCCCCCACCTCCCGCTAGGAGCCGGGGAGGGCCGGGCCGGGCTTGGTGCTGGAGCCTTTTTCCTCTGCTTCGGCGGGTGCCCCCACTGGGCCACCTGGCGCCGTCCTGGGGTCAGAGGTACCATGGGGGAACCGTCTGTGAGCTTGGAGCGCACGAATGCCGCGACCATCTTGGCCTCCTGCTTGCCTGTGAGAGCCTCGAGCTCTTTCAGAAGTTTGCATGAGAGCGGGGTTGTGAGCCCCGCTTGCAGGGAACTTCAGGACCCCGTCTGTGCAACTGTTTACTGCAGTTCTTGGCAGGGACGTCTGAAAGACTACACTGCAACCAGCCCTGAAGCTACATTCCTTCAATAAGTTCTAGAATCGAGGTTTCCGTGAAGGAAGGAATCCAAGAGGCTACTGTGTCCCTTAGGACAAGTTTAGGTCGTGCCCTGATCAGTGACGCTATGCATGCGTGTTGACATGGCTCGTTCTTAGCGAGCAGCGTTGACCAATGGAGACAAGTCCCTATCACCTCTTAGAGATGCTGTAGGTTACTTGCTACTTGTTTGACCTCCCCCATTCTCTGGAGCCTTTTCTCTCTCACCCCGAAAGCCCTCTCATCGACTTCCTGCTCCGTAGTTTTTAACCTCATATCTCCTGTGGACAGTTTGGGTTTTGTCATCACCCACCATGTAGCAGCTGCAGGTTCACTCTTATTTTTTTCTCCTCTTTGAGTTAGATACTTGCCCACTATAACTTTTGTGTGACACCCTTGTCTGCAAAGGAGTAGTGTACCTTAACTTACAAAGAAGAAAACAGATACAATAGCAAAGTTGTATGCAATTGGTCATCCATGCAAGGAGAGCATTTTAAGCAAATGTCGTCTTAATTACATTAAATTTAACACGGTGCTGTTATTTTTTTTTTACTTGTAAATGTATTATTATACCACAATGTTTTTTAAACTATAAACTATAGTTTAAAAACTGTTTTTATGTATATTTCTAAATTTAGCCCTTATGCTTTACATATACTGCGGATTGCAGAGAAAGCGAGACAGGCAGGAGAGATGTTAGTTAAGGTAGATCAATCGATCAATCGAAGTAAGTATTATCATCAAGATACAAAAAGCTGCTAGCAGTGGTGGCTCACACCTTTAATCCCAGCACTGGGGGAGGCAGAGGCAGGCTGATGTCTGTGAGTTTGAAGCCAGCCTGTTCTACAGATTGAGTTCCAGGACAGCCAGGGCTACACACGGAGAAATCCTGTCTTGAAAAATAAAACAGAATACAAAAAAACTGAGAGCATAAAGGAAGGAAAATTACATTGGGCCTAGAACATTACAGACTGTCGAAGAGTGTATGGGTCCATGCTTGATGTTGTTGAGACCAAGTTGGAAGTATTTATTGAATGCTGTGCTAAGTTACATACAGGCACACACACACACTTTTTTTTTTTTTTTTTTTTTTTTTTTTTTTTTTTTTTTTTTTTTTTTTTTTTGAGCTACCCAGTAGGTAGCTCAAATCTTCTGCCTCTGTGTAGGCATAACGCTCAACTCTGACTTTTATAATCAAGCATTGTGGGAGATTTATGAGCAAGGCAGTTGATGTGCTTCTGAGAATATTCTTAACTGTTTTCTGTGAATAGAGTGAGCCATTCAGAAAGTAGGTTTTTAAATTGTGAAGTGTGTGTAAGAGAGGAAAGAAAGGTCGGGGATGTACAGTGTGAATGTGGAGGCAGAGGACAACTTTCTGGGGTTGGTTTTCTTCTACCATGATGGCAGATGTGGGGATCAAACTCAGCTTATCCGGCTTGTCTGGTAAACTCTTTTACTCCTGAACCATCTTGCAAGCCTTGGGAAGTATCTTTATGTGGCTAAAGATGAAAATCTCTGCAGACGAGCTGCTTTGGTTGGAGTACTTGGTCAGAGCACAAAAGTAATTGAGTGTCTGCAGTGGGTGTGTGCAAGGAGACTGGTGTTGAGAGTGCCGTGCAGCTGGAGGTGTGGCCAAGTGCCTACCCATGGCTGAGTTCCTACTCCAGCACCATCCAGTGACGGCTTATACAAACTTAGACATAGTGCAGAAGTGGAAGCCCAAGGAGGCTTGTGAAAGTGACCCAAGAGAGAGTCGAGACATTTTTAACAACTAATTTCACATCGAAAGCCCTTACATGTTAAGAAAAGAGGAAGAATTACAGTCCCAGACACTAGGAAGATAGAATTGCACTGAAAAGAGAGAGAGAAAGAAAGAAAGAAAAAGTCACAGGCTAAGAACTGGATTGAAGGACAGATATTCTGTCTTAAAGGAAATGTTATGAATAGTCTATACCACGGGTTGGCACACAGATGGGAATGTAGGTGAATTTGGAGAGCAATTCTGTTTTAGTGTCAGGTCTAGCCTCTCTGTAGTAATAACACTTGTGTATAAATATGAGTGATATAGTTTTGGGTGCTTTGTTGTTACTGTTTTGAGTCATGTTGTAATGTATTCACTCTGTAGCTAAGGTTGGTCTTGAACTCCTAATCTTTCTAACTCTACCTCCTGAGCACTGGTGATACAGTCATGCACCACCCCCTTTTATTAAAGGAAGAGAGAGTGGACATAATATGCCTAGTTGTGGAGCAATAGGCAGTATAAAATCATGTTTAATTGTGTCTGTGATGGCTGGCTTTGTCAACTTGATACAGCCCAGAATCACCTGGAAGAAAGTCTCAGAGAGGTGTCATCTGTCACACTGGGTTGGCATGTG